CCTCCCCCCCCCCCCCCCACCCCCTGCCCCGGATTTGTCCTTGAGACGACCTTTGACTTTAACGTGTCTGCGAACCGAACGCCCGTGCGCGCCATACACTAACAGACTACCACTCATGTACTATCGAGAGATCAATCACATACACGGAACCTGCCTCGTCACATCTCGCTTCATTTCAAGATTCCGTCCGGGCACGAGGCACGGGGCACGGGGCGCGGGAAAATGAAAGACGGATGGATTATGAATGGTCTGACTCTTTCCAGAACGCCATGCTTCCCCCTCCAAAAGCAAAAACAAAAGGGAAAAAAAGGAAGGCCCTCTCTCCCTCCCTCCCTCCCTCCCTCGACATTGCCTCAACGCCGACCGAGGGAGCGGATGATCAATCACTTTGAAAGTCATCCGATGCTAGATAGCCGCGCTCTATTTCTGAATCCTGCCGTCGACCAGCTATTGGCTCCTCACACCAACCACAACTCTGCCCTGCCGTCCGTTGTCTTCTTCTCAGCCGTTGCCATTGTTGATGCAGTTCCTAACGTCCTATGAAGTTGTTATTGTCGCTGCTGCTGCTGCTGTGATGCAGCATGCATGAGGTGCACCACCTATAGTTGCTTGCGCCCTGGTTGCGCCTTCCACTTCCCATCCATCCAGTTGAATCCCCGTCCTCTGTGTCCTCTCACTCTCAAGCAGAAATGCACCGTAAATAGTGATGTGGTTGCATCCATCAAAAGTAGGTTAAAGAAAAAGAAGACTTACATACAAGGGATGCCTGCAACAGCCCAGTTTTTGTAGCTATAGGCCCCAAATCACATAACTACATAAAGTGGGTCACAACTGGAGAGGCACCGGACAGCCCCAGCGCCGCCATGGAGGCTCAAAGAGGCTCATCATCTTCCTCGTCAGTCGTCAGGGACCCAGGCTCCCAGGGCAACACCCCTCGATTATCATGACACTGCATTCCCCCTCGCTAGCAAATCACACATTGTATGTTTTTAACTTGCATATGCATCTCAGCACTGTCTTTGCAGTGTAGTGTCGCAATGGTCGAAAAAGGAAAAGAGAGCAAATATCGTGGTGGGTACCTACGCCTGCGCACGAAAACGCCGAGTTCGGGGACCTGGAAGGAAGCTCGGAAGGCAGTGTTGTTTCGAAATGCGAAAACGTCAGTTACTAAAGTGTCAGAGAGAGCGAAAGCGAGATGGATGCAGCGGCTTCTCTATTGATTTCTCGATTTGGACATGTCTGACATCTATAGTTTTCACAAAGTCAAGATACTACATAGGTACAGCAGATAGATATCGCACGGACCTTTCAGCTCCTCAGCCGAGATGGAAGTTGTTGTCTTGAGACAAAATATCCATGTCGCCACGAAAACAAAACCTTCCGTAAGCGGGAACGGGTCCTTCATTCGTAAGTGGTAGACCAGATCTTAAACATTAAGGTCTTACTGTAAGCTACTATAGCCCACGGGAGAATCATAGTACTTGAGCCTCGATCATATCATATTCTTGTGAGTACTATACTACTTAGAAATGGCATTCATTAGGTAGCAGGTTCTCAACATCTCAACATCTCTCAAGGAACACTCAGCCCCGTCTTCTCGGGCATGTCTCACGCTCACGCGCTCTCGGTATATATCGGGCATCGGTGATGGTATCCCACGTCGGACTCCGAATGGCTTCAAAATGACCTACAGAACCACATGCCTAGACGGGGCAAGACGGGATCACGGGCCACCCACGACGGCGGGGACGGAAGTCGCACTAGTCCGCCTGTACGGCTACCTCATAGTAGAGTAGAGCCTGCGGTCGGGTTAGAAACCAATCCCGTCCCCCTTTTTTGGTCGTAGGGCCTATTTTACCCCACTGTTAGGAATTCTCCACGAGCAATTGTGACGGAAAGGGAAGTTGTCGGTTCTGACGATCGACGACGACGACGACCGCAACTGGCTGTATGGCTCGTCCAAGAAAAAACACTACTGCACAGGAGAAAAACGACGGGAGTACCCACTCTTCCATCTTCAACGCGCACGCTGCGCAAGATCCTCATCTTGCAGACTGACAGCACTCGATCGGAGGTTATGTGACCAGGGTTTTTGTGTCATTCAAAAGCAACTAGCCCAAAGGTAAAGGGGGAAGGAAAGCAGCGGTGCCGTGGTGACGACAGACGACGACAGCACGCAGCAGCAGATGAACCGACGAGTCGCCGTCCAAACTACCTAGGTACAGCGACTCGAAACCAGTTCCAGTTTCTGCGCACTTGCGTCCGTCCGCCGCCATTACTCCTCCCGTCTCGCCGTACTATATCCCGGTTCGGTTCAGTGAGTTGTGAGTTCGGCTGGGTTTCCGTACGGTCCAACAGGGCCGGATCGCCCACCACGCACACCCACAGGCCACAGCACCATAGTGTAAATAAGGGGACAAGGATTTGCTTACCAACCGCTTGTTACTCGCTTCCATTTGTTCTCGACTTGGATGCCCTGGCTGCGCTCGGAGTTTTTCGAATACTCGTGCCTACTTCGCGAATCGTTTCTTCATCTTAAGCGAAAAAATGACTAGGACACTAGGCTAAACAGAGTTGGGTAAGCGATCGATGGATGAATGGTTGCTCATCGCCTATCCAGCATCTATTCCAGGAGCCAGGTCCCTAGTTCTCGATAGGAGGAGCTGCTGCTGCTGTGGACGAGTCAGTTTGAGACAAAGACTCGAAAATCGACACCCTGTGTCAGTGAACTGCGGTTAAAAAAAAAAACCATACAGAAAAGAAGCCAAGAGAGGGACCCGCTAAACGGCGACCTGAAATCCGTAGTGTAGGTCGGTTTGTTGACGATATATGGTATGTACCTTGACGGCTGAAAATGAGGAGTCGAATGCGGCGGCATGGATGTAGTCGATAATTTTAAGGTTCAACATCGATCGCTACGTCGGCCACGAGTCCATCCGGGCCGCCGACGACGGCGACTACACTATATGCATCACCACCACCACAGAAAACGCCAGCCAAGGACAAAGCTCCTGACTTTATCACGGTGCGCATAAAAAGAGCAACAAGACCGACAGAGATATAAAACCAATGCTGGTCCTCGGTATTGCACTGGTTCCGGCTCTCTGGGTGTAAACCACCAAGCAGTGCAGTGTGTCAAGACGGCACAAGGCATAAACAATGTTAGAGCGCGGCACGGACGCTGACAGCATGGAGTGAGTGATGGAGGAAGAGGCTTAACAGCTCTTCTTGCGTAACAGCTTTTGAACGCACGCAGCTCTCATCGCCACCGCTCGGCATCACCACATCACAACAAATCCTTTTGAGGATTTGCTGTGAGTGAACGCAGCAGGCCCGGCTGCAAGACTCCGCGCGCATCGGCAGCGTTCGGCGGCTGTTTTGCCAACAGGAGACCGGTATTCCTACATCCTTGAGATGATGGTTGCCGAGTACGCTTTTTTTCAGTCGATTGGAATACCCTTTAAACTCCTCCCAGTTAGACTAGCCCCCATATGCAAGATTCCCGCAAGCTCGCTGTAACCTTCTGGGCACCTAGCGCGCACTGGCAACAGGTAGCAGCCTCGCTTAACTACACGACACCTCGCTTCATTACCTATCTTAGGTATGGCGGCTCGCTTCCATGTATGTATGCTAAGAGGTTTAGGTGCTTGCCAAGGGGTATTCCAATTGACTGAAATTTAGCGGTAGAGTCGGGCGTCAGCGCGCCTTGGTGGTGGTTGCCCTCCAAGACAGTCCCTCTGAACTTGCGATTGCAATGCCAAATTTCATTTGCAGTATATTGTCAACCTTCTCAATCCGGGGAAGCTTTTTGCATTAAATTTGGTCAGAGATTGGTTGAAGAAAAGAAGTTGAGGCGGAAGAGGGATTTGGACAACAGCCCTAACCCTGACCAAACATTGCTTGCAAATCCCCCGAAATCGAAAGGTTGGATGTTGAGTGAAAACGGTCATTGAGCGTGCAATCCTTGGAATGAAGTTACGAAAAATTCCAATATTGCTTTTTACATTCATAACTTTGATCAGGTCCATTCTGGTAGGGTTACCGTTTGATGTGGTTGAGCAGTTGTTGTTGAAATTCCAAAACCGTTACAGAGCTTGCGCGTTACAGGTAAAACGACCGACTCTCAGAGGGACTATGAGAGTTGGTTGGCTGGCGAAGCGAATCTATCTAACCGACGAGTACACTACGCAGGCAGGCTGTATGTAAGTGTACACTACCTATTTAGCGTCAGCGTCTCTGCACCTTTTGAGCTAGAAAAAAAAAAGTTGATGACGGGCGTTTGAGACTTGGCCAAGTTGAGGAGGTCAACAACCAGCCTGGGCTAACGTCTGAAAACCTGACGATGGCCGTCGCGATCGATGGTGTTTTATCGACGACAGCTTGAGAGAGTTGAGGAAAACAAGAAACTGGAGAATTCCTGGCCCAGCTTGCCTATCCTTACACCGATACACTTTAGCGAAGGAGTAAAGAAGACGGGACGCTCTTTAAACGAACGACCACCACTTTACGGTGTACCAATAACCCCTGGAAAGACAGACATGTGAGGCGGCCCAGAGACTTTAAGACATGGCTGCAGGGTCTCCAAAACGGCCAAGGACTCTCAAAGGAGACAGAGTTGAGGTTAGAAAAAGGCGAAAAAGAAGCAGAAAAAGGAGTCGGATTGTTCACAACTTGGTAAACCTTTGCGGTCATGACGGTCTCATGGCTCCCCTAAACTCCACTGTAGAACAGCCCTGCACCACGCATCAGTGGGTAGCCCTGGTAACCCATGACATGTCCCCTATCGAGCGTTCCATTCTCCTATGGAGACCCTGTGGACATTCCCCCTTCACAGAGTCTCTCCTCCTCCCCATCACCGTTGCATCCGGCCTATCCTTGCTTGCGGTTGCATCAGTGCCGGCCAGGCTTTGGTGGGTGAGGAGAGGGGACGCCCTTCAACCATTAATCCATGCCATTGGCGCTCTGCTTGCATGTCTCAGGGACTCCGCTTGCGCGAGCTGTTTATCTTTTTTTTATTTTCTGTTTCGTCGTTGCTCTTTGCAGCTTCGTTCCTTTCGTTGATTCGATTTCCGTGTCTAACCAACCAGTGTCCTGATATGTGATGCAGTGGGCCAGCTTGCTCTGTGTTGCTTAAACTGCTGCTGTCCACTTAATTCCTTGTGTTGCCATAGAGCTGAAGTGTAAGCCGCGAGAATATCAAGTCTTGTCGCCACATACCAGCCGTTGTCAACTCCAAAAAAAAGTGTCAAACCTACACGACCAGGACCTACCCAGGTACTCGAACACCCCCTCTCCTCATCCAGCAACAGGCTGTCCGCCTGCACAGGAGTACAAACACCAAGTAGTGGTCTGCTCCCCGCAGCCACCAAGAGAAAGCTCGAGCGGCAAAGCATTGAGCAGCACACCTTACTGTACTGCCTACTCGGGTCCGACCTCCGATTGCAGGACTCCGGCGCACGGCTCGAACTGCCCAAGACATCCCCCTCATCGAATCCCCGACAACCTACCGATAGCTACCCCCAAACCTTAGTCGACAACTAGGGGTTCGGAAGGAGGAAGAAGGAGCTGCCTTGCTGGCCATGTGGAAGGCTCAACGGTGAAACGTGGTAAAAGAAGGACGAAACTCGGTGTTCCTCAGGATTATCCAAGCAGGCGCAACACCAAAAGTGGAAGATATACGGCTCAGTATTGCGTTTCGGTTACACTTGGCTGTTACCAGATGGCTCGGGAGGAAATCTGATAGCCCATATACCACCATTATCAACCCGATTTTTCCGACTTCTCGACAGCGCCGACCTCACTTTCTCTTTCCGGTCATTCGCCAACCAAAGGTGTTGTGAAGCAAAGTGGTGCAGAAGAGATGCCGAGCATATGGAAGTCGGGCGCAAACGCCGGCCGAGTAAAGGCCGGTAGCAAGTCCATCCGAGGGACAATCTCAGGACCGATACCAATACCGAACGCCCTTGACGATGACAACGAATTCCCCATTCGATCTTTGGGCGCAATCAGGTCCACAAAGACTGAAGACGAGTTTGGCGGTATCCAAAGACCAGGGACTGGTGGAATTGCCAGCCCAATAGCTTCACCAACAGCAATTCAAGCGGTGGAAGGAGGAGCGTTGAAGGAACAGCTCTACGACAATAGGCACCATGATGAAAGTAGCGACAGCGACAGAGAGAGAAGCCCAGGTTCAAGGCAGGGCATCAACTCAGCAACTTTTGAGATTCAGGGGGAGCATGTGGGCGGGGATGGAATTTCTCCAGTGGTCTCCCAAAGAGCAAAAGCGCCATCAGACCCTCCACCACTGTTGCCACCGAACTCTGCCGGTGCTGCATCATCATCTACTGAGAGACAACGGACACCGCAGCGAACCTCCCCGCCGCAGACGTCATCGCCATTGAGAACGACTCCAATGAGGGTTATGACGACACCCTCAACGGGACGGATCACGAACCCCCTTCAGAGCACTGCCCTGCGATACTCGACCATTAGCGATACCCCGAGTGGGCAGACTAACAACAGCAAGGGGCAGCCGCAGAGGAAGCAGTCCACACTGCGCTCGGCACTGGGCAAGTTATTTGGACGAGGAAAGAAGAAGAATGGGTTGGCGGCTGGAGAGCAGAGGAGTCCTCCTAATTCGGAGCGCGAGTCTGTTCTCATGTCTCAGCACAAGAGTGTTAGTATCATCAATCTTTTCTCGCAGCGTTCATGTGGTACTAACAGGCTGTAAAACAGGACCCAAGTGCACTTCATCGGACGATTGAAATGTCGCCCAAGCGATCTGCCTCGCTTCCCATCAGTGAGCTCGACAGGCCGCTGCGCTCGCATTCTATCGGGCCAGATGACATCCGGGCTATCGAAAGTGCCCGGAATTCACTCCAGGCCGATATTGGAGGGAACTCCGGCTCCATCGCAAGGCGGCGCGCTGCAGCGGCAAATGCAAATGAGCGCCGGTTCTTGTTTGTGCCGCGCTTTCCTGAGGCCGAAGTAGGCGCCGGCTTGTCACCACGACCTGCCAGTAGCCACGGTCGCGGAAGCCGACTGTTTGCTGGAGTTCCGCGCGGGGAACATGACGACCCAAGTGAAATTGGGCGCGCCATCACCAGCGATAGTGGCAGCCATGGTATGCGACGCCGATCACGGAGCCTTTCTGGATTGCCGGATATCTTGGGGAGCGGGGAATTGTCGGGCGCCGGAGCGCCGTCGCAGCGACGAAATTCGGTACTGGCGTGAGTCCTACAACGCGGGATTCCACTCGCCACTATCATCGGACGCGAACGTCAATGCCGATATTGACAACGACGGTGTAGCAGATCTCAGCGTCCCCGCAAGCCCCGCAGTCGAGAGACCACCGGATACACCTCCGCAGCCGTTCAACTTTGGATCGATATCGAAGCAGATGGTGGGAATGAAGATCACTCAAGCGGTCACCATCGACACCCGTATTGGCACCCTCGAGACACGGACCGGAAAGTTGGAGCGGGTTGTCGACCAGCTTTGTCACGTAGTTCCCGGGTTCAGGGGCCCGCTCAGCGATATTTCGGCGGTCGGAGGAGGGAGAGGTACCGGAGGACCAGGAACCATCAGAACCATTTCTGACGGTCGACCTTCCTTCACATACACTGCTGCCTCGCCGCCGCCCCCTCCGATTTCCCCCGTCCCACCACGTCAAGGACAGCAACCAGTTAATTCCCAGTCCGACATCAGCCACTCCCCACGAGCTAGCAGTGAGCGACAGTCGATGGATTCGGACTCGCATTCGCAGATTTCGTTCGGCGAAGCCCAGACCTTCATCGGTTCTCTCCACCCGCCCTCATCATCAGCCACCCAAGCACAATCCTTAACCACCGCCACCACGCCCACCACGGCCGCGACCCTCAGCCTCCCACCCCACCCAGAGGAGCCGAACGACACAGACCGGGACCGGCCAACTTCCAACTCCACCGTCCGCGGCGTCGCCAGCATGCCTTCCATGCACGAAAACGCCACGACAGCCTCCATCAGCGAGTACTCCTCCACCAACGCCCACAACCCGACCTACTACAACCAGTACCACGCCCTCCTTAGCCAGCTGGACTCGGAGCGGCAGGCCCGCCAGGCGCTCGAGGGGCAGGTCAAGAAGTTGTCGGACCGCTTGAACGCGTTGTCGAGCACCATGTATGCTTTGGTCAGGGATAGCGGGTCGTGGGGGGCACCTGATCCGTCCAGTCCCCGATCAACTATAAGCGGAGGAGGAGGAAGAAGAGGCAGAGGCCATCCGCCATCGCACATCCCGAGTGTTTTCGACTACGATAATGCCGACGATGATCAGCATGGAGAAGACGACGAAGACGACGAGGAGGATATCGACGATAACGTTGATCCAGCTGTGAGACACGGAGGACATCACAGTGTTGGGGTCGTTTCTAAGGCGAAGTTGGCTTTGGTCGCGAAACCTACCTCTAGAGGTAGCGGCGTCGGCGGCAGAGGTGGTCAGGAAGACGACGAGGCGGAAGATTTCCAGACGCCGCGGGAAGAGTTTCAGACGCCGATGACGCCGACACCGCCGGGTTACACTTATGGGGCTTTTAGCCCTGAGGTTGAGAGCGGCGATGACGAGGCCGGCGGGGACTCTGAATCTGATGCCAGGGCGGAGAAGAAGCAGAAGAAGGCGGCGAGGACGCTGAGCTTGAGTCAGTTGACCATGCCCAAGAGGATCTGATGGGATTGAATGGGCCGAGGATGAAAATCTCTGCTACTCCCCGCCCCTTCCCTCGTTCTCTGCTTGTCGTGTCAACGGAGGAAGGTGCGTACGGGCGGGAATAATTTTTTTAGTCTGGCATGAACGAAGAAAGAAGTTCACCAGCAGCAGCAAGATCGTTCCTTCCCCTGGCCAGAGTCTTTTGACGTCACGTACGTTACACCTTCATGACACCGCCGTCTTGGACATTTCAGTTCCGGGTGACTCAGTCACGAAACTCAAAGACGGACTCACTCGGCCGAATCGCCCGGGTACCACGAACCGATTCAAGTCAGTCAGTACGGATTGGCAACAAACAAATACAACACCGCATCATATACATAAATGAGAGATGAGACGAAACCGTATCACCTCCCTACCTACCTCACCTCGCTCACCTACCTATTCACCATCTACCTCTAACCAATGTTACCCTTTCATGTGCCCCTTGAATCGTGGGTTATAATACGGAAGTCTCACGTTATCGTATGTTTTATCTCAAGACGACCAGTTCGTCTCATTCACTTTTTTATCAATTCGAAGCTTCTTCACCTTCACCTTCGCGCGCCCACATCCACCACAGCATGCGCGCAAACATGCATCTGCCTCTCTTCACATACTTCACCCATACTCTCTATTTGTGCTCGATAACTCTACACACTCTAGTTTGTTTCATTGTTGGAGCGGCATAGCCTTGATATTTGATTTTTTAACCTTGTTGTTTACGTGTACGAGTATTGGACACATACATGATGGATAAGGATACCCTTTGTGGTAGTAGTGACGGTATCTAACTAAGTTGGGAGTACTATGCGATTGAACTTTTTGCATATATACGTTCTGGTGTCATTGGGGATTACTTTGATTTTATAAGCGCTTTTTTCGTCCAAACATCTCTTATCGTCGTCCTCTGTTGTAATATCTTTTCCAGTTTTTGGCATTATTTAGCACTTCTAGCATTTATCTCTTGGATGGGTTGGCAAATTTGAATTTGATAACAGCTTTGAACTTGACGTCTCTTCGTTAGTGGACAGTTTGCATGCATACTTGAGTTGAAATCAAGAAGATATGAGTGAACAGAAAGAGGGCAGAAGGCAATGTTAATCAATGGGCATGGTATATCGTACAAGAAACAGCTGCCCTCCTCGAGGCGTATATGTTCGACTTGACCCTGAATAGTCCAACCCAAAACGCCGTTGTATAAACCCGCCCAAGCCAAGCATAACACCTCTGTACTTTGTCGACTCTCTCTCTCCTATTTTCCCCCGTCTTCTCTCAATGTTCTCTTAAGCAGTATCCTCAGGCAACTCATCCACCACTCTTTCTACCAGCTCGATCAGCTCATCGATATCTGGCCTTTCTGCGGGTTCGACCCTCAAGCACCTCCTCACCACATCCCTTATCGGCTCACTGATGTAGTTCTCGTCGTCCTTGTTGGTTGCCGTATTGTCACCTCCAGCACCTCCTCCCGCGCCTGCCTTGCCCTTGCCCTTGGTCTGCCCAGGCCCCTCGTCAGGGAATCTCCAGTCACCGCTCAGCACACAAATGCTCAAGCTGCCACCGGTTTCGTCACTGCGCATCTCAAAGGGCGACTTGCCAACCAGGCAGGCGTAGAGGGTACAGCCGAGCGACCAGATGTCCACCTTGGTGTCGATAACAGTGCCGGTCTTGACATCAAAGAGTTCGGGAGCGCGGTAAGGCATGGTAGAGTGTTCGGCTGCCGTATCCTGGGTGGCTATGGCGAGGGAACGGGATGTGATGGGAAGAGGAGAGACAGCAATGGAGCCGAGGTCCATAAGGATTGGGTCGCGGCCGGAGTCGGAGATCATGATGTTGCCTATAGAAATGAGTTAGTGATGATATGGACAGGCGGAAAGGGGGGCGCTGAAACGTACCAGGCTTGATATCCCTATGCGCATAACTCCTCGTCTCGTTCGCGCCAGGCAAGCGTCCCTCGTCCTCGATCAGCGGTACTTGCTGCTCCGTCTCATCATCCTCATCTGCACCTCCCACCGCTGTCTGCCTGGTCTTTGATTTCCGTTTCCCTGCCCCCGGAACCTCCATTGACTCCCCGCTCGTGTCCCCTCCACCACCTTTGTATTTGTGCATTCCTCTTAGCGCCTTGCACACTCCCAGGAACAGCATCATGAGCCTCTTCTCCGGGAAGCGCGTATGGTTCACCAAGTTCGCGTTGATCATATCCTGCAAGTTGCCGCGCCTGTAATACGGCAACAGAACGTAGACAGTCTTGTCCTGCCCTTCGCCGCCGCGTTCCGTGGCGATGCTGTAGTCGACGTGGTGAATGATTCCTGGCGTGTTGCCGAACAGCTTGTAGGCTTCTACTTCGTGCATGGCTTGGGCGACGGATTCTTGACCGAACGGGCATCGGATCTTTTTGAGGGCGAGCAGTTCGCTTGTGGATGTGTCTTGGACTAGGTAGACGTAGGAGAAGCCGCCCTGAATGAGACGTGTTGTTAGTACAGCTCGAAGCAAGGGGAGAGCAACAGAGATGGGAGGATATGGGAGAGGCATACTTCTCCTAGTAAGCGCAAGATTTTGAAACTCCGGTTATTGATCTTGAGGGTGGGCGAGCCAGGGAAGCAGACCATGCAATTGCCCAGCCAGTATATGAGATCTGAAATTACTTGCGCCATGGTGGGCTATTCGTGGGATCGGGCTAAGGCCGAGTTATTGTGGTGATATGTTGGCGGAATTATGGTCGAGTTTCTCGAATTGCTTTTGCGAGTAGCCACTTGTACGATTCGGCGCTGGTGACGGAGAAAATATGAGGCGTGTTTAGCTTCGCGATGTCATACGCTTGTTTGGTCGCGCTGCGCTCGGGTCTAGTTGTTTGAGATCGAGTGGTGGTGCCCAATTGGCCGTCGACTTGGGAATGGCTTCTTCTCTGTGATGACGACACTAATCGATGTAGGCACCAAGTATTGTGGAGAGGCGATTCTCGGTAGTTGGCTTGTCGTATCGTATGTGTTCCAAGATGTTGCCAAAGTTAAAACGTATGCGAATGTCAGATGCGATTGACGCTCAGGGAAGGTACCTGTCAATCACAAAGCTACCACAGCCATGATTGAAGGTGGCCGGATCACAGCCCGCGATGTCCACTGCCAAGGACCCTGAGCTGATTTGTTGTTAGTAGGGTTCCTTTGGTGCTGCCACAGCCCACCATGATGAGCCTCTGTGAAGCCTCTCAACTTTTTTGAAGACCCAAAACGCATTGGTACAGACCGGAAACAGGTCATTTTGACCCTTGATCATTTTTTTGGGAGTTTGTTACCCAAGATCCCACCGAAATCAAAGCACACCCATGGATCACTGAGGTTGTGCACTAACAAATTCGAGGGTCTTGGTAGGATTGCTCCGACGAAACAGCCAGCTTCAGCGCCACAGCAACTGGTGCCCCCTTGCGTTGACCTTCCGGGGCCCCCGGCCCCGCACTGCCCGGTCCGCAACGCATCCACTCTTCTGGGAACCTCAACGGCCCCGGAACCCCGAAAATTCAAGACAGCACCGTGGCTCTTCTCACTCTGGATTGTTGCAGTCACGATCGCTTCAGTCCGTCAATGTCCTTTTTGCGTGCCCATTGACCTACAGCGTAAAAGTCCGGACAACGATGGCCTCATATGGTCGTTCTTTCTGCAATTACGCGCGTGTACCACAGGGGCAAACCGGGCACTCACCCAGCACTGCAGCCCAAAACGGCTGCTCCTTCCAGTCTGACTGACCTACATGATTGCTCAACATTCCACTCATCTAGGCAGCGGTTGTGGGCATGGCCAGGTACCGCTTTTGCCCTTTGGTCTTTGACGGAATGCTCACGCTTTTTAACCCAGTCAACGTCGATCCAAGTCTACTCATCCACATTCGTTGTTGCTCCGCGCGCTCTTCAAATTTCGACGGTCATTGACAGCGGCTTCCGCTCAGCACGTCATGCTCCCTACCACCGGCTCATCGCTTTTGTCCGCCTTTCCCCGTCAACGATATATCCTCGCCAATCTTATACACTCTGGCTATCTCATAGGGTGCTCTTTCATGAGCAAGAGACGGCTATGGATCATCCCCTGACGATGATTTTATCTGCACCATGTGTGTACGAAGTATTTCTGCGGGTGAGTGGCCATTTGGAGAAGACACAAGCCGGCCAGTACTCAACGGTCGTCATTAAAGTTTTAAACAACTTCGATGTTTGAGCAAGGTAGACTATTTTACCTAACTATATCCCTGAGCTTGTCCGAGGAAGAGACTGATCAAGTCAGCAGGGTGAAGGTTCCAGATGGGCTGCGACACACACGGTAAGCCACCGTGAGTTCTTGTTTGTCGGCGTTATCAAGTGCGACTTATTGTCAACTAGCTGGGTTATAACAACTGGCTCCGAGTGGCATGAGGGCTCTAGGTCACCAACAGCCTGGTGTATATGGCTCGAACGCCATATCATACTTCTACTTCTGAGCTGAAAGACCTGGGTGTAGGTTCCCGTCACTGTCTCAGTCAAAAGTTCCGACGTGCATATCATTCAGCACATCATCGCTGACCTCGATTTTAGAACTATGGCGGTTTATCTCGTCCTGCGAAAGCGAGGCTTGAGCGAATAACCCACTATACCAATTTCACAAGCTGAAGTATCATCAACCTCACTACCTCCGAACCTAAAGCCGTATGCTGAAAGGCCTAGCTAGCAGTAACAAATGGCGGTTTCGTTGCTGTCTAGCTTGATCCTGTCACCCCTAATGACGGCCGCTTGGCTAATGGTCCTTAAGGCCTATAGCCACACACTTGAGCGTGGTTTGCGCAGGCCAGCCGGTATTTACTAAATCCGCGGAATTTGGTAACAGGTTACGTTCCCCATCGTCGCTGAAACCCAGAATGCGAGGTCTCGCTCACACTGCGTAGATTCTGGGCTTATCTTCGCTACTTCCGCAACAAGAACAGGCGACAACGAGCTAAGTCTTTTAAATATAGGCCAACGTTCATTGGAGAAAAACGAGGGAAAAGGAACGTCAGGCTTCCAAGGTTACATCCAGCGAGATAGTCACTGCAGTCTAGATACTGAGGAGTATCCAACGGCAAACGCCAATAAGTCTGGACACCGCAAGCGCCCGTTGACGAGACTCATAATGCGAGCCGACCTGTTGGCAGTCTGCACGGTGCAAATTGGTGTGGCCAAATAGGCGTGTATGCATCTTTCCCAATGTGAATGTTTCAAAACCAAATGATGCATCGGGCAATCTGGATGAGTGAAGAAACTATACGACACTTCGAATCTCACATCATCTTAAACCCCGCCAAGCGTTAGAGGCTGCATATTTTCCTGGACACTTATTTATATCGGCACCTGCTCATTTTTCATATATCGAATGGTGGATCTTGTACACATATCCATCGCCAACCTGACAAAGCCATAATGTCGCAATCTCGACCTCTTCCACCTGATGGCACTCCAAAGCTAGTAAAACAAACCGACATTTCTCCCTCACCCTCCACCGTCCGCGACATCACGGAAGTCATCCATCACAAGCCCGTTGGAGACGCATCGGAACAAGCCCACTCTCTTATTTACCAGACCGACAGCGACCATAAGAGCGACTTCTACGTCGAAGCGCGTAACGTCACTTCTCAGGAAAGGCCAGGACGATGGCACATTCACAGCTGGATTTCCGAAATCGTGGCCATCATAGCGTCTGCAGCAAGCGCCATTGCGATACCGGTCATCCTCGGCATATACCATCACAGTCCTGTTCCGAAATTCCCTTGGGATCTGTCTATCAATGCGATCGTCTCAGTTATTTCTACCATAGCAAAGTCCAGCTTGCTTTATGCCATGTCCGCGGCTTTGGGGCATGACAAATGGGACTAGTACGGTCAAGCTGGAAAAGGCAAGATGCTCAAGGATATGGAAACATTCGACCAAGCCAGTAGAGGGCCACTCGGCGCTGCTAAGATTCTCCTGAGCCCACGTACAGCCCTGTCGCCAAGTTCACTCGGCGCACTCGCTGTTATCCTCTGTCTTCTTGTGGATCCTTTCACCCAGCAGGTCGTGGGTTGGACTGAACGGAAAGTACTGGTTCCATCTGAGGATGTATGGACGCCCAGAGCAGCTGTCCCGTATTTCTGCCCCGGCGGCGTCAATGGAGACGCCGGATGCAAACCAAACGTTGTCGAGGCTCCCAACACCGCTATTTGGACCGATCCCAAAATATACAGCCTTAACGCGTACTTCTCTACAGGGCAGTGTGAATGGGAACCATTCGATACCATCGAGTACTGCGTGACAAACCGGATCATCGAGCCTTCGACTGCAACCTGCGACATATCCTTCAACCAAACCCGTTACAAAGAAATTCGTGAGTTCTGGAACAGTTTTCCAAATGGGGTTTCTCTGGCCAGTTAGGCGTACATCAGCTACTGCAACATGTTCCCCGGAATGTGGAATTATACTGCGCCTGATAGACGGGAGACTTGGGACACTAGCATGGGCTCGTCCAACTTCCCTGACTTTGGCAGGTGGACGGTCTATAATGGATACAGAGGGAAACATGAACAACAAGGGAACAATTCTTCGCCATCCTACCCGGTTTATGTCACCAGATTTCCTATGGATATCATCACCGAAATGGATAATGTTTGTTCGCCACACAATAACAATCCTTGGGATTGGGTTGCGTGTGCGGACATCAACAATGGATCAGACGTAAAGACCCCAACACCACTTTTTCTCATGGCTCATACACGACTTAAGCTGGAGACATCCGAGGAAGGTTCCAACAAATCCTGGATACCAAAGGGCCTGCGGCCGGAACTACAAGAATGGTCTGCCCTATCACTTTGCCAAGTCAAGAGACAGATCAGTGTCGTTAACGGGACACTCCGTTCATCCGCCACCACATCCTCTTATTTAACAGGGCCCAAGTTCTCCATGCTAAAAGACCCAACGGGGGTGAACGTCACCGCAGACTGTTATGCTCCAGAGAACGTTGATCTGACAGGTGAGGCATTAGACGGAGTACTTGCGCCACCTGTGATGTCGGCTGGTCTCGATCACCAATCGTATTACCGCGCGGACCCTTCAACAGGGGCTTTCTGCTTGTTCAACGGAACAGACATTGAAAGATACCAAATATACAATAGACTGGCTCGCGTTTTACGGTACAGCATCCACCGCAACGCCACAGGACATCCGATTGTCGACGGACTCGTTGATGGGAGGTGGGAACGACAGCCTATTCACGGCATGGCGGGCGGAACCAGCTTTGGCCCCGAGTTCTCGGATGTCCCGGTTCGAATTAGCAACCGGACACTCGGCTACGTGATGTCTTCGGTCGGTGCGTCGCTCAACAATCTTACCCTGGCAACAACCACCGAAAGAGCGACAGGCAGCTACGTAGTCCGCGAGCGCATTCTGGTGGCACGCTGGCAGTGGCTGACGGCGCTATTCGCGATCGAGTTTCTCGGAATAGGCTATTTCTTCTTTATTGTCTTCCGACCCCGCGACACGGCCGGGGTATGGAAGGACTCCATCTTCGCTGTTCTGTATCACGGCCTGGACGACGAGTCGAAGGAGACCCACGACGGGAGGTTTGTGAGAGATCTCAGGGGCATGAAAGAGGCGGCTAAAGCCATGGACGTGCGGCTGAACTACATCAGGGACAATAGCCGGATTGCCTTAGTTCACGAGCCGACTACGATCGATACGGAACAGTATAGTGCCGGATCATGGGTCAAGAACGGGTACAACCCGGCTGTATAGACTGTTGGACTGGATAGATGAAAACTCTTGTGTTGCCACATGGCAGCGGCCTTGTTTACTCCTTGATGTCTAGGTATTGGAAAGACACTATGACGCCAGAACTTGCCTGTGCGTTTTGTTCGGGGCATACTGGATCCAGCCAATCCAGTAATGTATGTAATTCGGATGGCTACATAAAGCTTAAAGCTCTGCTTGGGCGAACCGCGGAGGTGGGCTGTTACTGATGGCCTATATTTCTTTGGGTCAGCGGTTGCCTGCATACCTTATTGACGGCTTTGGTTTTCGTCGAAGTGTGTTGTTTTCCCCCAAAATACCCGAGTGTGTGAGAGAAGTGAGAGAAGTGAGAGAAAGCGAGAGAGAGTTTGTGTGTGGGGAAGGAGGGCAGCAGTTAGGTAGTGATAGTTTTAAGGGAAGGTACGACTGAGGAGGGGGTATACCGGTCCAATACTGGGTGGATACCGCAGATTGGTTTGAAGGAACTCTTGAATTTCCCTGCCCAACTTGCTTTCGAAGAGCCATGCTAACAAACAAAGTAGGCTTGCGAGAATGATGGTATTGCGGTAACAGAATGTGAGAACTCCATACTGTGCAGCCTGCCGTCAAGCGTTCCGAAAGGCAGCATGCGAGTTGCCACCATTGTAATGGAGTGTTTGGTATTGAAAAGTCTTGTCTGCAAGGCAAGACACTACCTCGAGCTTGACAAATAGCGACATTCTGGGCCTTCAGGGTTCGGAAGCTGGGTATGAGAAGGCATCTCAAGCTCAAATCTCGATCTTTGTACCCGATGCCGCGCCTAAGGGCAACTCTTCTTCCATGGCTGAGGTGCCTTCCGCACCGGACTCTTCGTACAACTGGTTGCTCCGTGGCTATCAGCACACTCACTCGTTTTTTCTTCCACCTTTTTGTGCTTACCTTGTCCTCAATCAACTTGACTATCAACATGATTGAGGCCAGAAAATTTGTTTTCACCAACCATTTACGTAGGAGACAATTGAGATCGAAAGATGGCACAGTCTGGCATCCCATTTTTTTTTTTGGAAAGTTGACAACACGGCTACCACCTCAGATTCCACCACTGCCGTTCTCTTTCACCCATACTACCACAGAAGAGTTCATCGACCTCAAACAGACTGGTGTTGACGAGTCCAAAGACAACCCGACTCAGCCATCTATCCGCCAGTTGTCAGTAACCGACACCCATGACAAGGACCACCTTTTCCTTCTCCAGGAGGAGGGCAGCGCCAGTCGTGGTGATGGTGGCGGTCTTTCAGATCCCAATCCAAGCCCACGAAGTCTCTAAGATTCGTGAACACTGGCAGATCGATGGCTGGCTCTCCGAGATTGTAGCCGTGATCGTGTCGTTGCCAGCGCCGTCATCATTCCCGCCGTCCTTGGAATCTACAACCACAAGGTGGTCCCGAGACTACCTTGGGACGTCTCTCTTAACGCTGTCGTTTCCATCCTTTCGACCGTATCCAAATCCAGCTTACTATACGCTATTTGCGCTGCCTTGGGTCAGGATAAGTGGGATTGGTATGATGATGCTGGTGACCATGATAATGGCCACGACCGATCAGACCCACAAAAATAAGCATTGTACCGAGAGGAGGCGGAGGAGGAGTGCAGCAACACGAGCAACAATAATCGTTGGCGGCGTAGCATGAGAACAACGAAGAACAAAAAGAGGAGGTGGCTCAAGGAAATGGGAACGTTGGACCAGGCAAGCAGAGGGCCCTTGGGTGCTGTGAAGATCTTGATCAATCGCCGCACGGTCTTCTCGCCAGCGTCGCTGGCCGCACTTGTCATCATCCTTTTGCTGGTTGTTGACCCTTTCACGTAGCAATCTGTCAGCTTTCGAGAACGGCAAAGAAAGGTGGCCTCTGACGAGGTTTGGGCAGCTCAGCCACGCGCTCCTCTCTTTTGCGTCTTTCTTTTCGGAGAGTACCCCCACAATTCAGAGTGCTACAGAGCCTTCGGGGAGGCCATATACGCGGCTATTTTGATTGAACCCGAGACTTATAAACCCGCAACTGCACATACGCATTATCCTAGCGGAAACTGCCAGTAGGAACCATTCTCTACGGTTGAGTATTGCTTCGACAACCAGGTGATCGAGGCTCCAACGAATTACTGTCACCTGCCATCCTTCAATCAATCCGAGTTTGACGAAATTTTAAGCCAGTATAACAACTCGGACCCGGATAACCGAATCATGCGAGGCACAATGCGATACTGCCATGGCCTGTTTGAACCTCTTTTAATATACGACGCCGCTATCGATGGATGTGAAGATCTATATATTTTCGACCTGAATACTAATAAATGGCGTGAGGTTTTGGATTGGGATGTCAAGGGAAAATGATTAGATCGATATGACTCAGCATGTGTAGCCGGTGACATTTGGTCAGAATACTCTGTTTGGGCCAGATTAAACCATTCCGGCCTGAAACATAATATCCCGCCGCGCATATTAACCACGTTCCCGACAGAGGTTATCACCAGTATAATAACGAAATTGGCCACCGGTTTAGTCCATAACAACATGGCATACATACATTCGTTTGATTCGTTCGTAGTCATGTTTCATACTTGATTTGATGTGGTACCAGAGGTCTATCACTACGGGTTCGACGGGGTTACCAAAGGCGATCAACCGCCCGTTGACTTACGGCCTAATATTACGGATTGGTCAACACTATCTCTTTGCCTGGTTGACAGGACAATAAGTGTTGTGAATGGCACAGCTGCTTCTTCTATTACGTCGTCAAAATATCTCCGCCAACCGTATGACATGGAAACTCTTCAGGCACTTGACTTGTGTTGTGCTCCGGAAGATCAGATAGAACCCTCCGCAATCATTTTCTCACTTTTAGAACTATATCTGGCTTCTTTCCTCCAGAATCCAATGGGAACCGAAGCTACGGAATAGATTACTCAACAGGAAGCTTTTGCTTACACAACGCTACATTATTGGAAGTTCTTGCACAAGTCGACGACTACCTCTCACATGTGCATTGCGTGTTGAAGACAACAGACGCAGACGGCCAGGATGGCGTGGATCTTTTTGATTTGGGGTGGCAGAGGGCGGACCTAGCCAAAGGTGCCCCTCTATACATTGAAGAACTTGAACAGCTTCTCGCAATTCGAATATCCCGTCTGACGCTGCCCACCGTCATCACATCAATTACGGCAGCACTCAACAACATGAACTATGCTGCAACTAACGAGAGGGTCACGGGAAGTTATATTGTGCGCGAGATCATCTTGGTACCGCGCTGGGAATGGCTTACGGTCCTCTTTGGCATCGAGTTACTGGGCATGGGGTATTCGCTCTATATCATCTTTAGACCCAGAACCACAGCCGGAGTCTAGAAAGATTCCACCTTTGCGGTCTTATACCACGGATTGGATGACGGAGCCAGGAGCACCATCGCATATGTGAAGAACCTGGAGGAAATGAAGAAGGCGACGGAGGACATGGAAGTCCGTCTCAATCGTGTTAGGGAGGACGATCGCGTTGTCCTGGTTCGGCACTAGTAGTCGGTCGTCTAGTCTTCACAAAGCTCATTTTGTCTTCCCTTTCGGAGAAACTCTTGTCAGAAGCTAAATTTGAAAACGAGAAGATAAGAAACACGAATGAACGGAAAAAGTAAGACCAAGAAATTAAGAGTAATAGAGAAAACCTCCATGTTTTGTCACTTCTCCTGATCCCCTTGCAGAGTGTCCAGTCTCCATCTTCATCTCCGAGATAGGCACCTACAAGTGTTCCAGTTAGCTCTTGTACTCACTCCATCGTGTAGTGATTGAAGATACTGGTACCGGCGCCTAGATCGTAGACATTGACTCGCCAAGGAAAGGACCAGCCAGCCAGAGCATTGATATCCAATGAAGAAGACATGTATTGCAACCTTCTCATAGGTACCTTCTCCGACACTACAGGTATCTCGAACAACAAGGACTTTGAAAAAGAGGAACTGAGAGTTGGCGGGGTGTGAAAGAGCGGAGTGGACCAATAGATACCAACTGCCTATCTACCTATAAGACTTCTCAGAGACTTTGACACTTGTTAGAGACGTCTCAGCCACTTTCCAAAGTCATTCTAACGTATCACCATGTTGCCTCGCCCCTTTTTAACCATATGTATATATACACACCTGCTCATACCAACAGGGTTATATCGCTTAATCGCCCTGGCAGGTATAATCTTTTCACAACCAGCACGCACGAGACAGTCAGTCAGCGAGTAAAGCTAGGATCACGAACAACCTACCTCGAGACAAAATACCAGTCATACCACCAAGAAAAAGAAAGAAGACTTGGACCTTTCGAATTTGAACCTTTAAAGGTTGAACCTGTGTACTCACGACAACCAACGAAACATACAGGTAAATAAGGAACACAGATCTTCCAAAACATCGTCGGTAACGATATACTAAACTACAATCAACAGACACTCTCCCCCGTCCACTAACTTACTACCTCTGACTTCCGAGCCCTGCTCTCCTACCTATACCCAGCTCGCACGCCAATACCAGCCAGCGACTAATCCGACCAAGTGATCTTCGTACTTTATCTCTTCCTACTATATATCCGTTGATCCATTATCATGCCCTTTCCATGCACTATCTAAGCCTGCTATCCTGCCTTAACCCTGACACATCCTTTCCCTTTTGCCAGATTCCATGCTGGGTTGGTTCGCTACTAACAGACGGGTAAATTAAAAACCCAAAATTTTGTGTTGCGTGATGGGCATTTTGCATGTATCTTTCTAACTTTGTCGAAACTGATTGAGTGTGGTGAGGACAGATGATGGTTGTTGTAAATAACGATAGAGATCCGATCCACTGGGGCAAAGGAACTAAGAGTACAGGTACAGACAGAGTCCACAGTGTGCAGTAACCTTGAGGAGGATGGAGGATGGCAATGGTAGGTAAAATAGGTAGATACTAGATAAGTTAAATGGGGTCCAAATCCATCGCTACACCCTCTCACACCTCTCACTCCTCTTCCACCCTGTCTTCGTCGGCGTCGTCGTCGTCGTCGTCGTCGCGGCCGGCGGCATCTTCACCCCCATCGTCATCGTCATCTTCTTATCATCAACAATAGCCTTGCTTAACCCAAAAGTCCCCTAAAACTCGTCTTCAAAGGGGCAATCAACGCTATCGTGACCGTCACGCTCGCACAAGGCACACCACTTGGACGCATCCACGATTCCGCTCTCCTTGCCGGCTACTGGACCCGACTCCATTAGGTTGGGGAGTGGGGATGCTGCCTTGGCAACAGTGACAGACGGTACGATAGGAGCCGTCGTGGGGATAGGCTCCAAGGGAGTAGTAGAACGGGAAGCAACGGGCTCAGCCAAGGCAAGCTGAGGTGTCAGGGGCTGGGTGGTCCTGGCCCTGTTAGGGGAAAGGGGCGCTGGCTTGATGACATCGTCGTCGTCCTTGGCGGAGATGGCTATGGAGCCCATGGCGCTGACGATCTCTTCCTTGTCCTCATCCTCAACGTCCTCATCATCGTCGAGTTCGGAGGCAAGAGACTGCGACTTGTTGCTCTGCGGCTGCTTCTGGCTGGCGTTCTCGGCCTCGTTGGTAGAGCCAAACATGTTGGTGCAGGTAAGGATATCGTGACCAGACGTGTCACAGAGCTCGCACCAGAGAGTGCTGTTGTCGGTTGCGGTGCTATAGGAGTCACTTTCGGGCATCGCCTCGAGGGTTGATCCCCCGACTCCTGAGAGTCTTGTCAGGACCCTGGGAGGCAGGCACCACAGTGCTTCGCGAATCACGCTGCGAGTTATGTTCCTTGCTGCTGCCCACCGTCATGGTGCTAGAACGATGGTTCGACTCGGTTGCAGCGTTACCTCTTCGCAGCATTTCAATTTCACGCTCGAGCTCCTCCTCGCGGCTGGCCTTGCTGTCGAGCATGGCGCGAAGCTCGGCAACCTCCCGTTCAAGCTTTTCACGAGCGAGACGATCCTCAATGGACTCGCCAGTCTTGGCAATTGGCGTCATGGCATCATCATCGTCATCGGGAGCAGAATCTCTGCTGAGCGAGTGAATGATGGCCTTTAGGCCTCTGATCTCATCCTCCTTCTGTTCCAGTTCCTTAGTAAGAGGAACACCGTTCGGGGAGCCGCTTGCGCCGTTGATAGCGGCCTGCGCCTTCTCCCTTTCCCGGCGAAGCTCGGTGCGCGTCCTTTCTACCTCTCCACGGAGAAATTCAACCTCGCCGCGGGCCTCGGCCTCCCCTCTACGGGCATCTTCGAGGCCCTCCTCCAACTCCTGAACCAACTCTTCCAGTTGCTTAAGCTGTATAGCAACGGCATCCACATCTTCGGTTCGTTCCCTCAGCTCCTGAATCTCCTGCATGAGTTCCTCGATCTTCTTCTCGTAGATCCTTTCGGTCTCTGAGCTCGCCAGCTCCAGGGTATCAATAGTGCTCCGGAAGTCGGCCCGGTGTGCGTCAAACTCGGCAGTCAGCAGGGCAATCTTGTCGTTCTTTTCTTGCAGTAATGCTCGAAGCTGAGCAACGTCCTTGTCTTCGAACTCTTCGTGTCGTGATCGATCGCGCAACGAGCCTTCCGAGCTCTCGATGAGAGCCTGAAGCTCGGTAAGACTGCTTTCCATCTCGACCAGTGTTGCTGCCTGGTCCCTCAGCTGCCTCTCACGGTCTTCAAGCTGAGTTCTGAGTTTCTCTAGCTCCTCCTCGTGGGCATTACTGCCAAGGCGCGAGGCCGCCCGCGATGGGGCGCGGAACCTCATTCCTGGTATAGACCCGGCAGTGGCGCCTCCGTTATTGTATCCGCTCATGGAAGCGGCATCATCGTCGTCATAGTTTGGCTGGTGGGCGTTGCCGAGGGAGGAGATACTACGAGGTCCGACACTACCTTTCCTCGTATGGGAGGGCAATCGCTTGCCCGTATCTCCAGGCACTCCGCGAACGCTCTGAGAAAACTTATTAGGCTGTGGGCTAGGGAATCGTCCAGGAGGGCCTGGTGTGGCAAGTGAAGGGCGCGATCCGGGTGTCATCTGCAGCCGCCTCATGGGCGACTCCGGACGAACAGCACCGGGCCCAACAGACTGGCTGAACTTTCGTAGAGAGGGGGTAGCTGGCGCACGGCCTCCGAGCTTCAAGGCGGGTCCCGGTGGGACAGGATCGGTGGGCGTGCGAGGGAGGGAGCCACTGCCGGCATCGCGCTTGATGGCTTTGGATAGGGGGAGGAAAATACCAGCCCCGGGCAGGCTGGTGTTGAAGTAGGAGACACTGGCAAGGTTTTGCGCATTAGCTCGAGTTCAGGCCCCTTTCAAAAACGAGTACGTTATATAAGCTTACCCATCGACATCACCGCTGTTCTTTCCGCGAGAGGCGAACTCGCGGTGAAGTTCGACTCCGGCAAATATACCCTTTCGCCCGTCGACAGAACCGATGAAACGAACGGTACCGGTCATGTTGCCGGGGACGTCGACGATGTCACCAATAGTGATCTCATCGCCGGTGGTCATGGTACCGGGGTTGATGGTAAGAGGCATCGTGTCGTTGTCGGTGGTGTTTAATACAGAATGAAGAGCGTAGGCTTCGGTATCATCGGGGATGGTGGCCAGAGAGTTTTGGGTGAGGGCGGCGTAGGAAGCCTTGCGCGACAGCGCCGGCGGGACAAGGCGCGATGACAGAGACGGAGGCTGTTGGGACTGGGACTGCGCCTGGGACGAGTAGAGCTGGTTGAGGTTCGGGGTTGATGCTGTAGCTATGCCGCTGAGGCCTCGGCCGGTGCGTGCTGGTCTCGAGAGTCCGAGTCTAGGTTTGGGAGTGGTGGTGTAGGTGGTGGAAGTTGCGGTGGTGGTGGTGGTGGAGGTCATCGTGATCTTGGGACCGGCTTTGTGGCGGCCACCGACCTGCAAAGGCGGTCGAAGTCTTGCCTGTCTGCTAGACTAGGGGTAGGGGGTAGACTAGCAGGACTAGTTGGACTAGTAGATGTGCCGAAAGAACAAGGCCAGTCACCAGCGTGCTTCTGGCGGCGGGAGAGGTGAACAAGGTTCAGGTCAGAAAGTGAGAGTCTTGTTTACACACCCCACCTGAGCCCACCTCTTCGGAGCTGCTGAGCGATCGCCCCTGACCGGTCCTTCTGTGCACCTGCTTGATGCTTCTGGTGTACTGGAAGGAATGCACGGGAGTGGCCCGCTAAACAGCGCCTGCCTTGCCTGTGTGACCCGCGTCTGCGGTACCCGCGTCCACTAAAAAGTAGCGGGATGGAGCCTCTCGTCCAGGGGTTGAGTTGCGACTTGCCGTGTGTGCGGACAGGGAATCCCACCTCGGTGACTGCGGCGTCTGTTTGAGAGACGGTGAGATGCTAGAGCGGGACGGGGGAGTTGGGAGCGTGCAAGTTTTGTTTTAGACCGAGACAATGTGTGAACCACCTGTGTAGTAGCGTATCCGACTTTTAGGTTCCGTATCCTTCTTTTATTCTTTCCAGCACCAGCTCAATATGAAAGGCCCTCTCGGTCATGAATCTGTTTTGGTCAATGCGCCGGGCCTCCTCCCATGCGTTGACGTCGCTTTTGGGTGATGATAGGTTGTTCCTGGACTCCTTGGAAGAAGGCGGTAGAGGGAGAAAGGGTGTCTTCCCCCCACCATGGGCAAGAGGGTTTAATTTACGGATCTGCGGGGGAGGGACAGACTTCCTATGCTTCTCTTCAAAGACTTGTCAGCCGTCAACCCGAAAAACGCTCATTTTAAATCGAGATTTGACTCAGGATAGGATGGGTATGGCCCCGCGGCTAGTAGCGAGAAGCCCCGACCTGGAAAGGGGGTGAGAGCTGATGTGGATGGCATGGCACAGGCACACGTACCGTTCGTGACTTGTGAATTGAACCACTCGTTAATGGAACAAGAAAGAAGCACCCGATGTTGAATTGTTGTTGTTGATACGATCAGTCACACACCTAGAATGCGATGACGCCCGCCGTTTATTTCAAATGACCGATGAGAAAGAGAAGGAAACAGGGAGAATATTGGGCGCAAAGGGTAACTGAGCGAAAAGAGATGGAAAAAGAAGGATAACAACTATTCAGTATCATGGGCCTCCTTCCCATTATCAAGTGTTCCCTACCAGTCCAACAACCAAGGACCCTGCACAGCAAAATGGAACCGAACATAACAAGGAAGAAGCAACACCACAACAGTCAACACCGCCATGGCCAAAGTTGGCGAGAATGATCCTCAAACATCGTGTCATTGCAGCTGCAAGAGCAAACAAGTATGTACGTGCTAACGTACTGTCCCGATGCTCCTTTTTCGCTTTATCAGCGGAACTGCTGCATCTCATCTAACCATGCAAACGGACACGACAGCGTTCGTTGAGGTTGACGGCAGGTCGCCGGTGAGGGCGTCATTGTCACTGTCGCTGTAACCTCCTTAAGGCTAGCTCTTCCTGCAAGAGCGGATAGTGCCTGGGAAGAAACAGCCCCAGGGGTAATGTTCTTTCAGCCCATCCGATCCGTTCGCTAAATGTAAACAAAGCCATTCGTTGTTCTCATAGAGGCAATGCCCATTCATCCTCCATTGGAATTCATGACATGTTGTCTCTCAAGGCGATGGGGATAGGTATGCATCGTGGCATCCCCCCTTTTCCATTACTGGCGAGAGAGCAGTTGCCATTGGGCATCTCTGGTAACCCTCTCGGCTTACAGCTACCCAACGAATGCCTTCAGATTCTGTGGTTTAATTACATCCTGGCTGAAGATCGGCACCAGTCCGGCCCGGGCGCCTACGAACTGAACGGTGCCTGAACGTGACCCCCCTGGCCGCCCTGGCAGAAACACCTCCACTTCACACGTGTACAGCGGAGCACATCCGGGATTTTGCCGATGATATCACGGGGAGTCGGAGAGCCCAAGAGAACTCTCCTGAGGCCTGTTCGTTGCTTTCTGTTGGACTGAAAGGGATGGCGAAATCCAAGATGTATCCAATCATTGGTGTTCAAGTAAAGGTATCATCTTTCTTTTGTCTTCTGTCTTTGGTTCGACCCAGAGAAAGGCAAGCTGTGTCGTGGCCGTGACTTTGAGCCCCGCCTACAACTTTTAGCACAATTTTAATGATGCGGCTGTCGTTAGCGGCGTTACCTCGCCATTCGGATATGGTGCTGCATCGCTGACAGCATTGGCAAATGTCCGCTCCAGGGGTTCACGGTTCTTGTTACGGGACCTAGCTTGCCCGTAACAGAGTCGAGATCTCACCACGCACTTCCTACCCTCGTACGTCCACGGCACTCTGCACCGCGAGCACCACTACCAACGATGCTACTATCACCGCCAAGGCAATGAATGATAGCAGCATAATCGTCCCTCTGCTGGCCGGGAACTTGCCCTTTATCACCCAGTGTTGTCCCAGCAGGTAACGCTTATATCCAAGAAACAGTGTCAAGATACTGATACCCAAGAATGTTGCGCCAAGCGGTTTGCCCAGGTGCCTTAGTGTTTCCGCTTGGTGGGCAGTGTCGTTCCCGTCCGATAACGAGGTGTTGAGACGGAAGAGTTGGGTGATGGCAATGCCTATCGATGCAAACGCTAATGAGGTTCGTAGCCATGCGAGGAATGTTCGTTCTGAGGCGCACAAGAAGTCAGCCTGTTGCACCGCAATTCAAGGCGTTCGGCATCCTCTACTCACCTAAAGCAAGATGGTCACGAGCAACGCTCCCCTTGTTTTCCAGCTCAATGCTTTGGAAGTATTCCAGTTTTTTCTTCCATTTATTCAGTTTATGATGCTCGGCCGACCCATTTCCAGCTTCGCCCTCGTTATTTAAATGCGCCAATGCCGGTTGTGTGGCCGGACTATGGGCGGCGGGTTGGCTTGCTGTCTGTCTTTTGCGCGCCGACGGGTTGGATGTTGGTGTTTGTACCATACTTTGGTAATTGAGCGGTTGGCTTATTACGATGCCCTGTTGTGTCCCTTCGCCGACTCCGGTGGTCTCAGTTGTACGAGGCGACAGAGGTGATAGCAAAGGCTGTCGTTGTAGACGAGGATCGGCATTGTCGAGCGCTTCGGCCCTCTGGCGGGCAGCCTGGATGCGATCACAGATGTTAGTCACAGCATCAGTCTTCTCATTGAGGTCACTGGCGGCTTCTTGTTGCCTCTGGGTGGAAAAATTGGTCGAACCCGACATGGCTGAAAGGGACGGACGGGCTACAAACAGTACGGCCAGGCATGTCTTCGGGCGAGGATGCCAGCGACTGCGCTGGCGATAGAAGCGCAGGTATAATTCGGGAGAAGATTCAGCCTCGACGAGCCGGAGGACTGACTGTCCGGAATCGCAATGTCGAAAAAGGCGTGCTCAATGGTGGAGTCAAGTTTGAAGCTTGCGACTTTCGCGAGCAGTCCGGCAAGAAGCCCGGCGAGAACCTCTCTGGAAGTCTGGCTCGTCTGGGTCCCTAGTCCGGATTCTTGGCATCCAGATCCAGCCACCGATATACGCCCCAGTCACTGTTGATAGAAGGTGTTTGCGATGTCACTGACCTCAAGGATTTCATCGAGACGGTCTTGGGTTGACCTTCGTCGCAGGGCCCGAAAGGTTAAAGAGCCGTGGCGGACCAGGTATGGCTCTGGTTCGTTATTCTCTGAAGGCACCTCGGTTGTGGAGGGGGAGGAAGGATGGAGGGCTGGCGCAGACCTTGAGGTTGCAAGCCGCTGGTCGTTGTCTGCCATATTGCGATTGTACTGTACGTGGTTCTGAGCAATCGTACGAGCAGCAGTGCAGACATGCAGTTTCGCCGCGATAACGAGACGTTGGACGGTGGTGTCAACGGGGCCAAGGATTGCGATTCGATTAAACATTCATCTATTGGGATTGGAAGGACAGCGCAGAGATTGCGGCGAAGAAGTTGATTGGCGACTCGTGAAATGGCAAGCACGACGGGAGCCAAGATCTTTGTCCAGGGAAGCTGCGATTCACGCCTGCGTCCGCATTGTTGGCGTCATCTGCACTCCCGTGCCTTGTCCCCGCAGGCGGGCATTGAACTATTCAGTGGGTCCCGGTCAGGCATGTTCCGCGTGTCGGACCTGGAATGATAGTCCGTTGATGTTCGGTTTATATCAACCATTATCCCCATCAAAGATCGTGACATCGTGGTGACAGGATGGCTCATGTGGTTCATCTTGGAGGTTGTATCTTGTGTGTTTGCAAGGTGATAAGATGACATGAGATTCCGGAATCATATCCTCCCGAGGAAGATGATGAAGCTTTGAGGCTTGTGCATGCCTACAACTTCCAAACACGGTCGGAAAGCTCATAGCTACCATATCTACCCGAAGTATGTATCACATGGAGAGACTATGCATCCGTCACCGCTTCTGAAGTTTACAGTATATCGCCGTTGCGATTTGATCCGAAAGAGCCGTGGCAAGGCCCGTGCCGTCTGCCCGCTTCCGCTCCCAATTACCCCACTGCCCCGACTTAAAGCCCCGCCACTTCCCGGGTCCGAGGGCCCCACATCTACGTGAGCCGGCAAGGTGACATCGGGGCGGCCGCCGGTTTGACAGGTTGGCCAAGAATGAACTTAAACCATCTCCGTCCTTTCTTTTGGACTTCACGTTGGGTTCCATCATCCGAATCGACACACGACAGTGAACATGCCGACCATCCAAGGAAAGAAAGTCGGCAACATAGGCTTCGGCCTGATGGGTATGATCTCCTGAGCACGCTCATCCTCTGACGAAAGTAATATGCTGACAGGAATTACCAGGCTTGACATGGCGAGAATCCAAGCTATCGGACGATGAGATCTTTCCCGTCATCAAGGCTGCTCTCGATGCCGGCTGCAACTACTTCAACGGCGGCGAGTTCTATGGCCCGCCAGACCACAACTCCCTTACCGTGCTCAAGCGTTACTATGAGAAGTACCCAGAGGATGTAGACAAGATCCTCCTCAATGTCAAAGGCTGCATGCTTCCTGGCTTGTTGGCCGATTCTTCACCTGAGGGTGTTCGGGCCAGTATCGAGAACTCGGTCCGCATGATCGGAGGCCAGGGAAGGATTGATCAGTTCGAGGCGGCCCGGAAGGACCCCAAGGTCGACATTGAGGTGACGATGAAGGCCATGCAAGAACACATTGAAGCCGGAGATATCAGGGGCATCGCGTTGAGCGAGGTCAGCGCCCAGACGATCCGTCGGGCTGCAAAGGTGGCCAACATCACGGCTGTCGAGATCGAGCTATCCATCTGGAATACCGAGCCACTCGAGAACGGCGTGCTTGAGGCTTGCGCCGAGCTTGATATTCCTGCCATCGCATACAGTAAGTCCTTCACACTGCCTTGTGCTGCTTTTCCGTCAGCTGTCAAATGGAGACTGACACAGATATCTCACAGGTCCACTTGGTAAGGGCTTCTTGACCGGGCAAGTCAAGTCCTTTGACGATATCCCCGAGGGAGACTTCCGGCGGATGTTGCCTCGGTTCCAACCTGAAGTTTTTGATACCAATCTTCGACTGGTTCGGAAGGTAGAGGAACTAGCGACGAGAAAGGGGTGTACACCAGCTCAATTGGCCATCAACTGGGTGTTGGCCCTTTCTAAACGACCTGGGATGCCAACAATTATCCCCATTCCTGGTGCATCATCGCCGGAGCGCGTTCGGGAGAACGCTGTGGAAATAGAACTGACAGTGGAGGATATGGCTGATATTGAAAAGATCCTCAAGGAGTTCGCTCCGGTCGGCGACAGATACCACAAGCATGGCATGGAGCTTCTCGATAACTGAACTCCGGGCGTAACGAACATTCTGATATAAGAATATGAAAAAAGTGTGTTTACCTCCAAAGGGCGAGCTAATTGATGAAGGTGTGTGTACTCGCTGTGCTGGGAGTGTTGGTGCACGCTTGAGGAAAGTCTTGCTTTGGTGGTTACCATTTCCTTCATCCCATGTTCTGTTGCGACAGGTAAATTTGGAGTTGTTTATGCCTATATAGGCTCAGCTTCCGTCTGAAGTGGATAACAACAGCCAGAAGTGGTTTAGTGGCTCCTGCTCCATATCCCGCCCGCAAGGTCCCGGGTTCAATCCCATGTCGAGTCAACTTTTCGACAACACCATGGGAGAGTGCCTCACTCACCATAGCGTTGCTTGCATAGCGAAAACAGCGAATATACTTATCTCAGCGTAACATATAAAGCGAAACATCTACTGTCATATACCAGCCATTTACAGAGAAATATCTATAGCGAAATGGCTAGCGAACATATCTATCTGGGTTTTCCAAGCGGTTTCCCAGCGTTGTGTTTTTTCCTTTTCCCTTATCCTTTTCTCTCCGGATTTCTTTCGGTCAGTCCCCTTGTCTTTTTCTTCCTCTTTCTCTTTTAATTCCGCTCCAACATCATCCTGCGCAGAGTAGCAATGAGTGTACACGGCGACCACGCCGGTGCTAATGTTGTGTGTCCGGGTCTGTTCGGTTATACGGGCCCTCGATCGCCCGGGGACACGGCGTTGGGGACAGGCGCAACCAGAGATGGGAGCGCTAACGAAGCCACCTGGAAATGACATCCTACGCCATGCAAAAGACCTTCCTTCTTAGCAGTACCAACGCATGACGTTGCGACATGCCAATGTGGTAACTGTAACACTCTGTAAAATGTAATTACCACTGTCGAGCTTCCTCTCCTTCCCTCGTCTACTTGCACAGTTCACTTTATGAAAGAACGATTGAAGGACAATTTCCAGATAGTATCTAGTAAAGGAAGGAAGCAGTGACCCCCAAGTGTTATTGATTCCTTCTGCAACTGATAGGCCCCTTAGCGGGCATCCCGCGGTCAGTCATTCGTCCGTCGCAGCTACCCCTGTTAGTGCCATTAGTGGCAGGATCCCCGAAGCCTTATCTAGGCTCAAACACGTAAGAGCCTTGCGCGTTCCTCCCAACTTTTTGAGTTCGGCTTTTGGAAGGACAGTCAGCTGCAACCACCTTTGCCAGGAACACATTCAAAAAGTCAACGTCTCCCTCGTCATAAAGCAAATTCGAGCATCCGATTGTCTCCCTCATCGTTCCTACCATCATTACTCTATATTCTACAGCGGCAGGAGTCTCCGACTACCCATCACCATTTCTCTGACCCATTCCGCGAGCGCAAGCGCAACAGCTTTAGCCGACCCTCTCCGCTGCATATCTCAGCTTCAAGACACCGAACCCAACAAAAGCTACCGACCGAGTTCGCGAACATCAGCTACAATGTCGGAGAGTCACTGGGTAGACTGGAATAAGAACACACAGTCCAAGGACTATCGTGGCTCTGGCTCCTTCTCAACCTTTATCATTATCGGCCGTATGTTTGCCAACTTCCTCCCTTTGCTTCCAATTTGCTGCTGCCCCTCCCCCTCCATGATCGTCATGGCCCTTCAATTCCGCCCAACAACCCTTTAGCCCCCTATCGCGCAATTGCAGGAAGCTTTATGCTGACATTTTACCTTGCGTGCGCAAACAGCTGTCTGTTTCTTCCTGGGCATTCTCTTTGCCCAATTTCCCTATGACTTCCCTCTGCTCTGGACCTCTGAGCCGGCGCAGGCCGCGTACTACGACTTTCTCGAGGCGCACGTAAAGTTCCTGCACGCCTCGCCGCCCACCATCTCGCGCATCCTCAACATCGTCATCTTCGTGGGCCTTCTCGGCTTTTTTCATGAAGCTCTTCCGCCCGGCCGAGTCCAACGTGCTGTTCGACGGCGCGTCGCTCATCCTGTACGTCATTGGCGTCGGCGTCTACACGAGCAACATCGTCAAGGGAATGCGCACCATCACCGCTGGCATCTGGGACATGGAAAACTTCGCGGGCATCAAGCACGACGGCCCCGTCACTGGCGAGGTCGTTCTCGGCAGGGAGGATACCATGAAGGTGCTCAGCGCTAGCAACACCATTCTGGCCATGGTCCTGGTTGGAGTCCTTGTCCTGCAAGCTGGCCAATGGTACGCCGAGTCTAAGGAGAAGGACGACTTTTCCAAGGGAGACAAGAAGGAAAAGAAGACTGGTGGCCAGCAGCAGCAACAGCAGCAACAACAGCAACAAGGTCAGGAGGCGGAAGATAAGAAGTCGCAGTAGAAGTGTTGCTTCGATTTTTTGGAGGGGCTTGTTCGAGGCACCGAGCCGAAAATGTGTTTTGCCGGTTGCGGTCGGACGAGCTGATTGTCTAGGGCATCCACTCGGTCAATCAATGTATCGAGGTGGAAGGTAAGCAAGCGACCAGGTGGAAGGTGTTCAAGATGCCGAGGTGGTGAGCGATCAAAATACTGGGGTTCAGCGAAAGCAAGAGTTCGAATTTATCAAGTACTTGACACTGGATCAGAGGTTTGCATCATTATGCTTGTGATCCACGTGGATGGGATTGAAGAAGAGCATGAGCCTGTTGGGCCATCAGCTTTCGACGTGCTTCTACAATAACTCGACACCCCCATCTCGCCAGAGGGGATTGGAATCGGTTGTTTAGAGATACTTAGGGCTCAGACTGGTCCGTAACATGTTCAGTCTCAGCCGGCCAAGACTACAGCATCACCTCATAACTCCCAACCGACGACCCTTTCAACCGGTTCTCGATCAACATTACCAATAACTGTTTCGTCAATAGGAATACTCTTTAACAAGACAATACCGAGGTGGGCGAGGACACTTCAGAGCAGAAGACGTGCTAAGCGCATACACATGCTGGTTAAAGCTCGCGAGACACGATTCCAAAGAGGATAGGGACGATTTTTATAAAATGTAAATGTTCAACACACTTGTTTTGATCATGGAACCTGATGGTCAGTGATAACTAACTACCTATCGGTCATCACTCCAGATACCTTTATACCCTAAAAATACAATCTCTAACTAGTCCTGTCCTGTTATGATCCGGTCTGGTCATGTTCCACCACGTCCACACCATGCTGACGCCTTCCCCTTACTACTCTTTTTCTTTTCTTCCACACCGTCCGACGGGGGTGTTCGCCACCACCACCACCGCTCTTTTTTTACTTCAGGTTGTTCCCCATCTCTTGTTACTAAATTGACTTCCCATGGTTCCGCGTCATCATCAAAAAGTTTCATAGCAATCATCGCATCGTTACAGACATCAGACCACATAACACCATGATCCATCCATCCCGTCCCACTCCCACCAGCCAGCACAAGTTATCGAAAGACTCCAGCAAACACTCACTCACTCACTGAACAGCTCAAGCCAACTCCAACCGATAAGACGCAACCTCAAACGGCCTCAAATCCACCTCAAACCTCCCCTCCGCCACATCAAAACTCGTAATCTCTTCGATCTCATCCTCCAGTATATTGACCTTGCTGACTCTCTTTACCGGCCACCTCGTCTCGATCGTTCCCCTCGCGCGTCCGCCCAACGAATCGTAGATCCTGAGAATCACGCTCTGGCCCTTCTTCTTCTTCAGCGGGCTTCCGTCCTCCTCGACTGACACACCCTCGTCGTCTTCGGCGCGCTTGATGGTGTCGAGAATGAGGGATGGGTTAGAGTTATCCGTGAACCAAACGGGCGGTTCCTGCTCGTCGAGGGCGGCGAATTCGTGAGGTGACTCGAGCACTTTGAGCGGGTTGTTGAACTCGTAGGCTTTGCGGACGGTCATGGCTCCCAAGGAGCCCGTGTGCGGGAAGATGGCCCAGCGGATGGTGTGCGAGCCCATGTCTGCGTGGGCGTCCGGGGCTTTGGGGGAGCGGAGCAGGGACAAGCGCATGAGTGAGCCGGTGGTGGCGAAGCCGTATTTGGAGTCGTTGAGAATCGAAACGCCGTAGCCGTGCTCGGACAGGTCGGCAAACTTGTGGCAGCAGACTTCGAACTTGGCCATGTCCCAGGAGGTGTTGTAGTGGGTCGGGCGGCGGACGATGCCGAATGCGGTTTCGTAGGAGGCTTCCGTGTTGCGGATGTCGACGGGGAATTCGACCTTGAGGAACTTCATGGTCTCGTGCCACTCGACGGTGGATTGGACCTCGACGTAGGACTGGAGCTCGTTGACAGCGGCCGAGAGGCTGATGATGGTGGAGATGTGCGACTCGTCAGAGATCTTGGTCTTGGTGATGACGCTGACGCGGTGTGCTTTTTCCTCATGGACTTGGGTTTCGCTGGACTGGAGCTCCTTGCGCGTGTCGAGGTGGTAGACTTCGACGTCCCAGGCTTGCCAGTAAAGCGGCTTGTCGTCGAAGAGGACGAACTGGTTGGCGCGCTGGCCTTCGGGGATGATCTCGCGCCTGTCATATTTGTCGTAGAGGGACGTGATGGTGCCGGCTTCGACTCGGACCTTCAGGCGCTTATTCTCAAGTACGAAGACTCCGTTGGATAGTTTGTGGAGTTTAACTCCATCCTCCTCTTGCCTGATTTCGTACTGTTGGAGTTTGAGAAGAGGTCCTACACCCTTGGCAAGGCCGAATTCACCCTTCGATATCTCGACAAGTTCCTCGCGATACCATGGCAGAGTGTTGAGGGTGATGCCACGCTCCAGGCTTGTGGTTTCTACTTCGAATACGCCCAACGCCTTGCATGCATCCTTCAAGAGCTTTGCGCCGGTCTTGAAGATTTGTGCATATAGCTTTGGAAATAAAGTTAGTAACTATTCATCACAAACAGCCGATCAAGTCCAAACATACCTTATCCGAATCATCGTAGCACATCTCGATCGAGCTGCCAGGAAGACAATCGTGGAACTGGCAGAGCAGTGTTGCCTCCCACATCTCATCGATTTCCTTCTTTGGATACTTGTAATTCTTCTCCTTGAGTGAAGCAATCGTTGCGAGCTGCTCAATATCCCTAAGCACAAACTCGGCCTTCCGGTTGAACTTTTTATTGTTCGCTTGTGTAGTATATGTGCCGCGGTGCAACTCGAAGTACAGTTCGCCAAACCAAGTGACCAGCGAATCGGCCTTCCGCTCGAGACTATCAAAGAAGTCATCCACCGAGCCGCCCAAGGACACCCGCGGTAGAAGACCAACGGTATCGCTGATGCCGCGGCAGCGACGGAGCTTCTCTAGGTGCTGCCATGTAGGGCCGCCGCCTCCATCTCCCTTGCCAAAGACGAGCAAAGATGTATGGTCTTGGTCCAGAGACTTGTGTTGTGACATGCTGCGCTTAACATCGCCAAAGTGGGCCTCTGCGGTGTATGTCTCTGAAGGGGGCATGTGGCAGATGACCTGTGTGCCGTCAAGGGCGACCCAGTTGAAGGTCGTGTGGGGGAACTTGTTGATGTTGTTCCAGCTCAGCTTCTGGGTTAGGAACCGAGTCATGCCAGCAAGGCGGCAGAGCTGAGGTAGCTGGCTGGAATAGCCAAAAGTGTCAGGCAGCCAGAATGTTTGGGACCTCTTTCCAAAGTTGCTCTCAAAAAAGCGCTGGCCGTACAAAAATTGCCGGGCCAGAGACTCGCCGCTGGGCAGGTTGGTGTCGTGCTCAACCCAGCTACCTCCGATAGGATGGAAACGGCCTTCGGAAACCTTCCTCTTGACACGTTCCCAGACATGGGGGTATAGGTCCTTGCACCACTTGTATTGCTGAGCTTGCGAACAAGCAAAGTTGAGCTCTGGGTAGCGGTCCATCAGGTCACACTGGTTAGACCATGACCGAGCCACCTTGCGCTTGGTCTCATCCCACGGCCATAGCCAACAGCTGTCGATGTGACAATGGCCGATACCAAAGACAAGCGGCTCCTTTCCCTTTTTTGTGTCATATACCCTGGCCGAGTCGACGTCCGGACCAAGGTATTGCTGTGCAATTTTTCGACACTTTTTGAGGGAGTCTTTATTGCCGAGTTCAAAAGCCTCGATAATCTCGTTGCATGTCTTTAGCGCCTGGTGCTGCTCCCACGATTCACTGGGGAACTCGCGTGCTGCATCCCCAATAATCCAGATATCGAGGTATAATTGCCGGGCATCGGGATTCACGGCCACGATCTCGGCCTTATCGAGACGAAAGTGCTTGTTCGGGTCAGGGGGCTGGATAATATCGCCGCCTCCTGCAGCACCAAACATGCCATTGCAGGCCATCTCGATATAGATGGTATGTTTCTTTCCGTCACGGAACGAGCCTGGTAATATCCACTCGGTACGTTCACCACCGCCCGTCAAGCCCTGGAGAGGCTTGCCATCATGCGTCCACACCATGCCCTCGTTGTTGGCGTCCCAGTGAAGTTCGAGTAATCTCTTGTCTCGCAAGTCCTTGGGGACCGTGAGGACGACCTTGAACCAGTGGGTAGACCATGCAGGACCGAACCAAGCGCCGACTTCTGTCTTTCTGAACTCGTGCTTGACGGCCTCGTCAAAGGTTGGTCGATCCTGGTCGGGGGCATCCCAGACGGACAGCTTGACATGGGGCTCGCCTGAGGCGACGCCCTCAAACATCATGGCATTGAGGTTGTTGTTTTCCCATTGTCCCTTTGCGTAGAACTGACTGATGCGATCCTTGTAGATGTTGGTGATGTATTGGCCGACAGGCTTGGGTGCGCGTACCGGGTAGGCCGAGATAGGCTTGCGCTGGGTTGCTGATTCCCCGCCCATCTTGCTATACCAAGGGTTGTATGTATGGTGTTTGGTATGAGAGTCGAGTAGTCGAGAGGGGGGATGGGGGGACGAGATAATCTAGGATCTTGCCGGGAGAAAGAGCGTAGATATAAGTTGGCAAGGTAGCAATCGTAGGGTAGAGAGAAACTAGATAAAAGGTTGTATGGTACAGGCTTAGAGGTCGAGCGGTATGTAAGGTAGTATGTATGGTCAAGCGTAGGTCATAACACGACAAGTCATCCACCAGGTTCTCAAGGTATTTGAAAAAGAAGATTAAAGCGTCTGTCTGTTTGGCACACGGCTATATTTCTGACGAAACTAACGAATCTGCTGTACACATCTGGAGCCAACGGACGGTATTGGTATTGGTATCGTGGTGTATGTTTCGGGACGCGAGTGTTGTCTTAGAGGAGGTGACGGCCAGCGAACAAGTCTGCGGGGGGGTCAATCGCGGGTCGAGGATCGAGGAGGAGGAGGAGGAGCGACTAGGAATGGAAGGAGGAAAAGAGGAAATGCTTGCAAAAAGGACGGACCGACCGATTGGGGGGGTTGGTTATCGGATCCAATCTCTGCCACTAATGTTTCCTCATGAGTCCCTGTGAAGTGCTGAATTGGCAGGCTGGGCTGGCAGCTGGCTGGCCCTGATGGTGGAGGTGGTTCTTTCCTAGGTAGTCACTCTAGTGCAAGCCTGGGGAGGAGGTCGGCTGCTGGTCACCTCAGTGTCGATGGTGCGTCCAATCCGAGGCCGCTTGCCCTGTGCGCAGTGCTGAGCTGTTCTTGCTCGTTGCTATCAGGGCTGAGGGTTGTGGCCGGGGTAGATCCACTGCAAGCCACGCCTGAAACACCAGAAAAACAGCAAGTACAGGGGCGGGGACAGAGGGAACAAATGCGGGGAAGCCATGTTCACCATGCCCTCACTTTGATGATTTCCTGTCTCTTGATGTCTCTTTCCTCCGACTTCCAGCCTATGAGAGGGCGGGGGAACAAAGGCGCCCGCACTCTGCAGCAGGAAGGAAAGGTGAAGTGCAACAGCCTCTCTCTTTCCACTTGTACAGCAACAGCCGATCTGGACCCCAACATTTCGTAACTTTCAGGAGTTGATAAACCATGTCGAATGCATTACACGCATTACACGCATGCGGTCGATCCAGTTCCTTCAAACGACGAGGAACCACGACAACATGCCTAGCCGTCGACTGTTCCCGTCCCGTTTCAGCAACCGCGTGGGCCGACCATACATCATGAAACACACTACGCTCTTCTCTGAACTACATGATCTTTTTTCTTCTCTCTCATTATCTTACATCTTCAGGGTCGGCATCCGAAATAGCCGATCAGATACGCCTCCCGGGTTGTGTTTGATACGAGCTTCTTCCTTCGTGGTTAGGTTTTCGCCTCTTCTCTTCCGTCCCGAGGATTCGGCCCCCCGTTTGGCCCCCATTTCTGTCAAGGTGGTAGGTTTTGATATTGGATATTGCGGAACGATGATCAGACAACCCAAGACATGGAATGGAACTTTTGACAACATATGACACATTGACACGCGCACACACACACAGAAAAGAGAACGATAATCATTCTATCCCAGCAACTGAGAGATGGAAAAAAAAAAAAAGGGTCCATGATCGCCAAGTCGCCCCCATCAAACACAGATCGATGTCTTTGGCAGCCCTGGTGAGTTCCAGACCCCGAGCACACAAATTTAATCAAAATCTCGTTGCTGTCTCGCTGTCTTGTCTTGTCTCCTTGTCCTGTCATCAATGGTTTTGTGAAACTTGACAAGGAACAGATAGATGGCTCTGATAAGCCAAACAGAGGAAAGGTAAGAAGACACATTCTAAGGGTTCGATATGGTAGGTATGGCGAAAAATGGATCTAGAAGGGTTCTGCATGCTGTCTGTCTGTCTGTCTGTCTCTATAGGTTGTCTCGTATGTGTCTCGCCCTCGTTCGTCGTCTGTCGTGTGCGTGTGTGCAGATTCTTTTCTGTATCACCACCACGCCACCTCGAACAAACCAATATCGTCCATGGGATAGAATTCCTGAGACATGTATTTAACTGTAGTGTGGGTATTCCGGCAGGCAATCAGAGCTCAATGTTTCGTGGACTGGCCAACGTTCATCTCCTTCGCTTTCCTGATGTCCTCTTTTTTTCCGGCCGGCATGCATACCTACTTTGACAACACTGGAAAGATGGACACAAGAGACACGACTATAGCTATGGACTCGGACTCGATCACTCGAGGGACAGGTCCGGTCCGCCGTGTTACCATGCAATTTTACTTTTTTTTCCTTTGGAGGGATGGGGGGTAGTACCACCTGTCACAAGACACCACGACACCATCCATCTCATTGTCGGAATCACGGGCAGGCAAAGGCAAATGGATTTTCGTCACTCAAGATGGGGTTTGTGTGTGTGTGTACAAGTAAGTAGGTGGATGGTTCCGTTTGTCTTGTGGTCATTAGAAGGTAAGTAGGTATGTAGTTCATTGATACTATTATGTGCAAGTGAAAGGTGAGATAAGGTAAGATATGGAGATAGAGAGAGAGAGAAGTATGCTACGCTATCATCCAAGCAATCAATGTACGAAAAGAAAGGCTGTGTGCTACGTCGTGTGTGTGTGAAACCCCGGAATCAACGCCGCCACCCCGACCGACCATGACCATGACCGTGACTCCGTCCCATTATTCCCAAGAACGCCCCCTTCCCTTCGCTGTGCCGTAGCAAACCGTACCGACCGACCATTAGTTGAGTTTGCTAACAAAATCTCCAAAGAAACAGACCAATATTGCTCCAGTCCGCGTTTCTATATGTATGGTATCCCTTCCATCCAACACCATGCTTCCCACCGTGATACACACAAGAGACAAAGCAAAAAAAAAAAAAAAAAAAAAAGAGGAAAATAAAGCTGAGAAAAAGGCCAGGCCAAAACGCCTCGCGCTTTCACGAAATCTCGCTCGCACCTCTCTTCCTCCCCGCGCTTCCCAACTGAACCTCCTCCGACCCCATCCCCTCCGGCGACGACGACATGACAACAAAAGCATTGTCTTCCACCTTTGTACGCTGCTGCTGCTGCTGCTGTTGATGATGATGATAATGTAAAGCAGCAGGAAGAGCAGTAACCTTCATCACCTTCGGTCCCTGGTCATTCCCATATACGCATTCATACACCATATTCTCCTCCTCTTGCTCTTCTTCTTCTTCACCTAACTCTTCTCCTCCGTCATCCTCATCCTCATATTCTTCGTCGTACTCCTCTTCGTAGTCGTCCTCATACTCATCATCATCATCTTCGTACTCATATTCTTCGTCAGACGAACTCGACTCACTGTCGCTCGCGTCCAAGTTCAACACCCCCAAAAGAGGGACGTCGATCCTCGCCAGCTGCGACTTGATCAAGTTATCCGCGATGGTGTAGAGCTGCGAGTCTTTGTCTTCGGTCTTGGTCTCTGGGAAGTCCAGTCTTCTCCGTTGCCGCCGCCCAGAGAAAAAATGGCTTCGGCGGGATCTTGGAGGGGGTCGTGGACTTCTGGTGATGGTTGGGGTATTTGGGGTACCTTCTTTCCCTTCTCTACCGCTACCGTAGAAGTAGTAGTAGCAAAGGGAGCCACAGGAGAAGACGAAGGCGGTAAAATCCCAATAGGCACATCCAGAACCCACCTCCTTACCACCTCCCCCTTTGTCACTTTTCCAACATTCCCAACATTCCCTCCTCCATATTTTCCATTCCCTCTTGGGAACTGGGACTGGGACTGCTGCTGGCACATCAACCGCTGCCTTTCCCTCTGCTCCAACCCGCGCTTAAACACCCTCTTCTGCTTCCTGCGCCTTCGCTGGATCCGATCCCGGGTGTACCACGCCACCACCAGCATCGTGGCCTGCATCATCTCCTGGCACTTGGCGCGCTGCATGTTGGCCCACTGCTGGCACCGCTGCTGCTGGAAGTTGGCGATGGCTTGGCACCGTTGTTGGTAGTAGGCGGCGATGCGCGAGGCCATGGCGAGGTATTTGGGGTCGAGGGTGGGGATCGTGGTTGTGGTTGGGTCTGTTGTTGTTCCTGTAGGGCTCGCCTTCATGCCACCGAAGGGGAAATTTGTTTGCGGTGTATGTGTTTGGCTTTGTGATTGTGGTGTTGGTGGTACGGGAGCGCTACTGCTAGACTGCCGGGAGGATACGGGGGTTGGCTGCTGTTGTTGTTGTTGTTGTTGCTGCTGCTGCGCATCTTGCTGTCGTTGCTTTTGTCGTTGCTGTTCCCGTACTTGCTGGGCATGCGCAGCAAACATGTTGAAGAATGCTTCTTGTTGAGAAGTTGTTGTGGTTGTTGTTCCTGTCTTGGACATATCGGGAGACATTGGGCCTTTGCCGAATAACGGCTGCTCAGGAGGAGGTGTCGCCGGAACATGGGCTTGGAACGGATGCGGCATCGGCGCCGTCATCATGATTATTACTGAAGTGGTGGTGAGTATGTGCAGATGGTCGTTAAAATGTCGTCGAGTGATAGTTTCCTCGTCCTTGAGATACTCGTCGCCAAGGTGGTTGGTTGGTGATATAGTTATGCGGGTGTAAGTTGTAGCTGAGGCGATGTTTGTTGGTAATAATAGCGGCAGCTTATTAATACCAAGGGATGTTATCGTATGTCGTTGGCAGAATGTTATGGACAACTGATCTTATATATCATAAACCTTGACAAGGGATATGAAGAGTTGACCAGGTTAAAACAAATAGAAATAGTCTTGAGTAAAGCCCTACGGAGGGTGGGGGAAGGGAAGGAGGTCTGATTTATAACTCAGGCTGACTACACCTGATGGTTGGTACCTTGAGAAATAATCACGACTTAGACGTCCCTCGGGCCGCATCCTGGATCCGTACGGCCACCTACGACGCGCATTCTAGATTAAGTGGGTTCATGTTACTTTGACGGCTCATCCTATTTTTCTTTACTTCCAGGATTTGAACATGGAAAGGGGGGGGGTGACAGACAGGCGGACTGTCAGTCCCAAGAGAGGAGTGTGTTTGGCCATGATGTCGCTGGTGCAGATAGTGGAGTGAAGGGTCCTGAGAGGGAGGGTTCTGGCCGAGTGCCCAGGCCCTACCATACCGAGGGAGAATCTGCGTTGTTTCCAGGATTGGGGTCTTCTTGGGACGCTACCAGTGCTACGACTTGGTACCAACGGAGCTAACTGGTGCTCGCAAGATGCCGAGAATAGGGTAGGAGATAAGGTGTGGTTGACGGGGGTTCGCTAGGATTGGCAGGCGGAGCTGATGAAAATGGCCTGAGGAAGGGTTCGGCAAGGCTGGAAATGGTGGCAGAATTGGTACAACATGGGGTCAACATGGGCAAAAATCGGTCGATGCCGATTATCTGCCGGTCGAGTGGCCACCGAGGCCCATCCATTCACAACCAGGCCGAGGGGTACAATCGGGCCACACTTGAATCATGCCAGTCAGATGCGGGCATCATTGGAGTGGCAGCAGTACATACCGGGCCTCATCCCGGCACCCCTTCCCGGCCTTTGACGGTTTCTCCTTTACTCAGACTTTTTCATGGTGATGAGCATCGAATTCTTTTTTCCTTTTGTAAAAAATGATTGGGTTCAAAAACTGTGGTTGACTCCCGTCTGGTTTCCAACTTTGGCTGACACGTTGTCTTGTCTCTTATTAGCGGTGTTGGTCTGGTCGTTTTTCAACTCGTCTCCTTTTGTTGGAGTCCGTCCGCAGTCCGCACACATCATCATCCTTCGGAACAGACCGCCGTTTGGTTGCAGCGTCTAGATCGTTGCGAGATCTGAGCGTCATCAACAACGCATCATCAGGTACTGGATTCAGAAAACGAGAAACCAAAACACCCGGGCTGTCTCTGGTGCTTGGTCAAGGCCGGCTTAGTCGGATCGTAGATTCAGCCGTGACCGTCCTGCTGGTGTCAATGGCCGCAATAAAAAATGGTAAGCGTATGTAATCAAAGATGAGGCGCAACAGCATCCTTCCAGCAATCTCCTTCGTCACCCGTCCCAAGCCGTCGTTCGTCCGTTTGCTGGCGTCCAACTCTAATCACTCATCATGATGAAAAGCGAAACAGATCAGTGATCGGTAAAACATGGTGTCGCTTAATAATGCGAGACGTCCAGGCTGATTCACCAACAAAACCACAGGCTGTGAGCACAGGGCACGGATGGTCCAGACTCGGACATTCAGTATGGTGCGCGCGGGTGTGGCTTGCGCGTTTGCCCATCATGATCTTGCTGAGTCTGTTTCACTTCTTTGCTGCTTCTTGTTACAGGGTGTCAAACCACCGAGATTCGGTATTCGGCAGAGCGAGAGAGCGCCAGGGCATGTCCGTTTGCGTCTGTCTGTGAGATCCTCCGATGGGGAAGTGAACCGGAAATTGGTAATGCGAAACGTCTTCCCTTCACGAGCATGAATCGGATATGTAATTCCCTTCTCCTCACTTTGTTGGGTGACCTTCTGATTGTGCTGGCAGATGGGCCGATGAGCTGTCGTAGAATGCCACATGGAGGGAACCGGTCTCGCAAAAGTGGAATCGTTCCCAGTCAGTCGGGTTATATCGTGACATATGTAGTCTTGCGGGAGCGGATTCCGGGAGAGGCAAAGAAAAAACACGAACAGAGAAACAAACCGGGGGAAAGGGAAAGTCATGACCCCAGCCCGTTCTGCCCGTTTATCGCCGAGTAGTTCTTCAAAGGTTCAATATCAAAGCAAGATTATCGGCATGCATTGAATAGGTAGCGACACGCAACCGGGCGAGCCAGGTTCCCCAGATCATGCCGTTCAAAATCGGTAAAAGTCGCGACCAGGTTTGAAAAAGAGGCGATGTTGCGTTGCGAGGTCTCCATGTTAAATTGCTAGCGTTGTTAACTGGGGATTGCCCACGAGCAAAGACCGAGATCTGGGTGTCGGTGTTAAAGGGGTTGTCCGTTGCTGGGTGGGTTGTTTGTTTGGCGATGTCCGGGATTGCATCAACATTGGAGGTTTGTCTCCGATGACTTCAACACCAAACCCTGCGAGCTTCCAGGCCTTCTCCAGCGATCTTCGAACGGCTTTTAGGCACAACCAAGGGATGTCCCAGCGCAAGCATCACTGAAGAATTCGTGCAAACAGAGGAGGAGCGACACACCTTACGGGATTGGCGTTGGATGGCGCGATGGCACCGGGCCCAAACGGGACAGAGGAGAAACAATTGTCCCCACTTTTCGAAGGCTCACTTCAGTTGCCGCAAGTCGACACCAGAGCGCCCGCAAAGTGCCTGCCAAGAACCAACTGCCAGGTGCTGGAGGGGTCCATTTGCGGCCGTTTGCACCTGATTCTTGATTATTTCCATGCCATTTTTGTCTCTTTTTTGACACTACTCCCCGGTTCCCCCCCTCCTTCAAGTCTTCAACCTCCTTTCTCACGACATTGATCACGCCTCGTCACGTTGATCGCGGATCTTGACGGCAGATACTTATTTGAAGGGGTGTTCCCGGAACTGCGCGCCATTCTGTGCATACACTAGGCATATCTACTTGCTACTCTCATACTTGGTCGCGCCAGAATTGCACGTTTTCCGTCTTCACATTTCGGAATATCAAGGCCCAACCAGGAAACCATCGAAAAAACAACAGGCCATAATCGCCGATTCTTGATGCTCCCCCCGCGCCCAAAACAGGTTCCGCGCCTCTGGATAGCGTCTCTCGGCCAAAGCAACAGCGGTTGTCGCCTATGCGTTGTCAATAACATCCGAACCGCTGCCCCCACTGTTGGACGTTGCCGTGGTGCTGCTGCTGTCAGTGGTGTCGGTAGATACTATGTGACCACTCAGACCTCGCTCATCTCCGCCGGACCTAGACCTCCCAGTGTGCTACTCGCCATCCCCGCCCGCCCCGTCCAAGACATCACGCCGTGTTGTTCTCGCCTGTTTCAGCTTCAGATTCGCGGCATAAAGACCCGGACCGTTGTGCAGTTGAACGACCTGCCCCTTCCGCCCGTCGTTGAATCCGCAGTCAACGGCCCTCTTCTAGTGGTGGAGGAGTCAGTCCAAGGAGAAGGCACCTCTACGACTCGCCGCAAAAGAGTCAAGAGGACGATTCTGCAGCTGGATCAGCTACCCGTGTCTGAGACTACTCTTACTGCGGATCCCATCCTGGATGCCCAGAAAGATGAAAGACTAAATAATGACACAGATTCTGGTAGGGTTAAAAGGGGCAGGCGGAAGGCCATCAAGTTGGATGGCTTGCCCGCTCCTTTCGATGCTGTGGTCGAGGAGTCTCTGCCGCCCGTCGAAGGGGCTACCGAAGAAGCGGCCGAGGTAGAGGAAGATGAGCCGTCAACCAAGCGTAAAAGAGGGAAGACGAAGACAGTCAGGTTGAAGGAGATCCCTCAGGGTGCTCTCCTTCCCGACGAGTCTTTCATCTTACCGCAGCAGGAAGAAAAAGAACGGTCTTACCCAGCAGTAATTCAACAGTATCGCCAAAACATGCAAAAGTTTGACAATTGCGTCTTGCTCACGCGCGTGGGAGGCTTCTACGAACTGTACTTTGAGCATGCCGAGGAGGTCGGCCCGCTTCTGAATCTCAAAGTTGCACAAAGGAGAACGAGCGCCGGCTCTGTCCCAATGGTAAATCTTTTCCATCTATCCTCGTGTTCACGTGTGTCCATCATGCCTTTCCACCACGGCTTCCAAGTCGTCTCTTGAGTTAGTTCTCCTGTTTGCACTTTTGTTCTGATCATAGACCTTCTTCTAGGCTGGGTTTCCTTTTTTCCAACTTGAACGTTACCTCAAAGTCTTAGTTCAAGACCTGAATCGCCATGTAGCCATAGCGGAGGAGTACAAGAATTCCCCTTCAGAGCAGATCAAATCGGGCGGTCTGATGCACAGTCGCAGAGTGTCGCGGATTATTACTCCGGGCACCCTGATCGACGAGAACTTCATGGACCCGTATGCCAACAACTACATCATGGCCATTCACCTGCCTGCGACCAAATCAGAGGAAGGCACGAGTTCTCAAGAAGCCTTGAACTCGGGAGAAGGCCAACAAAAGAAGGAGTCTCTGATAGGCCTAGCATGGCTAGACTTATCCACGGGCAACTTCTATACCCAGCAAACAAGTCTGATATCCTTGGGCAGTGTTCTGTCGCGGATATCTCCGCGAGAAATAGTCCTTGACAAGTCCCTTGAGTCTGCCGAAGAGCACAACATCCTGGCCGTCTTGAACGAGGAGAGATATCCCTTCAACTACTCACCGCAAGGCGGGGATATCCAAACCCTCAAGGACTGGGCACCGATGCTGGACGCAAAAATACCCGCAGAAACAGTAATTCGATTCACAGACGATGAGATCAAGGCAGGTAACGTCTTGCTTCACTGTGTCAGAGACCGGCTTCAAGGCCTGAGCATGAAGCTTCAGCCGCCCATACGCCATGATAACATGCAAATCATGGCTATCGACAAGAACAGCATGCGATCTCTAGAGATCAAACAGACCATGAGGGATGGCAAATTTGCCGGAAGCTTGTTACATGCCATCAGGAGGACGGTGACCAAGAGTGGGGCGAGACTGCTTAATGAGTGGCTCAGTAAGATCGCCCCCTTTATTCCCTTTACCTGTGTACATAGTCAAGATCACTGACAAACTTAGGCGCCCCTTTGACGTCCCTCTCGGTAATCAACGCCCGTCTGGACCTCATAACCTGCTTTATCTCCAACCCCGACCTCAGCGACGCCATCACAGTCCTCCTCCGTCGTTCCCATGACACCCAGCGTCTCGTCCAAAAATTTGCTCTCAACCGCGGTGACGCCGACGACCTCCTGCGCCTCGCCAGCACCATCAAAGCCACGGAGGACATCGTCAACTACCTCGAGGCCACCATCACCATCTCCTCTTCTTCCTCCGAAGATAATATCCCAGCACAAGAAGAAGAAGAAGGACATGATTGCCTAACCAAGCTCCTCGCCCGCATCAGCCTCGAGCAACCCCTCAAGCTCGCCAAACGTATCTGGGACGCCATAGACGAGGAAGGGCTCGTCCAGCAGCACCAGCTCGAAGACAGCGAAACGGGCGAGATGCTCGCTCTCGCGCAGGAGATAGTCAAAGATGAAGGCACGGAAGAAGACGAGAGGGCGTTGTTGCCAAAGGGTGCCACCGCTAGGTGTAATAGAGCCCGAACAGCAGCAACAGCAACAACAGCAATAACGACAACAATGGCAACAACGACGATAGACCCGAACCTAAACCAAAACCAAAAGGAAAAGGATACTACGTCGTCAAAAGACAAGAGACAAAGCTTGCGGAATTACTACGGCGAAGACACCCAGGTCTGGATCATGAAGCCCAAAGCCAATAGGGCGTTGGCCAAGCTGCACGCCGAGCTGGAGTCGCTTCTGGAGCGAAAGGAGAAGCTGACCGAGGAGTTTCGCGCGAGGTATGCGGCGCCATCGCTTTCGCTTATGTGGAAAGCTGGATTGGGGCATGTTTGTGTTGTCAGGGGGAGGGATGCGAGATTAGCAGCAGCTGGAGCTGGAGCGTCGTCGGTTCGTAGTCGCACTCGCACTGGGACGGCATCTAGCAATGGCAATGGCAACGGTAGCAGCTTGTCCGACCCGTTAGACGCCGACGCCGATGCCGACGCTGACGTCAATGCTGCCGACGTCGACTCCGCCTCCGAACCCTCACCCTCACCGGAGCCCGAATCCCTCTCAACCCTCCGCACCCTCACCGCCACCCGCACCACGCGCACCTTCCACCACCCCCGGTGGACCTCCCTCGGCGAATCGCTCGACCACGTGCGTCTGCGCATCCGCTCCGAAGAAACCGCTCTCTTCTCCTCCTTACGCTCAAACGTCGTAACGCTACTCATCAAACTGCGCCGCAACGCCCTGGTGCTCGACGAGCTCGACATCGCCACCTCTCTTGCGCGCTTGGCGACGGAGCAGAATCTTGTTCGACCTATTTTGCACGACTCTCAGCCTCAGGAGAATCACGGGAAGGGGACGACGCAGCAAACGCAAAGAAAAACTGTGATCGTGGGAGGTAGACATCCCACCGTTGAACCCTCCCTGCTTTCCCGCGGGATGACGTTTCAGAAAAACGATTGCCTTGTGGGCTCGCCGGGGCAGGGGAGGATATGGTTGATTACGGGGCCGAACATGGCTGGTAAGAGCACTTTCCTGAGGCAGAACGCGCTGATCACCATTCTGGCGCAGATGGGATGTTATGTCCCTGCTGATTACGCGGAGCTGGGGATCGTGGATGCCATTTTCTCAAGGGTCGGGTCGGCGGATAACTTGTACGCGGACCAGAGCACGTTCATGGTGGAGATGATGGAGACGGCGGCGATTCTGAGGCAAGCGACGCCGAGGAGCTTTGTGATTATGGATGAGATTGGACGGGGCACGACGCCCGAGGATGGAACAGCTGTGGCGTTTGCGAGCTTGCATCATCTGTTGACGGTCAACAAGTGCCGGGGGCTGTTTGCGACCCATTTTCATGCGGTTGGAGATATGGTGAGGGAGCAGGGGCTGATGATTGAGGATGGTTCGAGCAGTGCGAATGGCGGCGTGGCCATGTACTGCACGGATGTGGAAGAAGATGAGAGCGGTGGATTTGTCTATGTGCATAAGTTGCGCAAAGGCACGAACAGGCAGAGTCATGCTCTGAAGGTAGCTCGCCTGGCTGGGCTGCCAGAGCCGGCTATCAAGATCGCTCAGCAAGTATTGGCAACTCAGGAGTTGTAGCATCGGAGTCAGGGTAAACATGCTTTTTAGGGTCACGGTCACAAAATGCAGGATTGGAGAAGAGAGCTTGGTGTGTTTCAAAGTTTTTATTTTGAGGGTATCTGAAGGAATTTGGATGCATCTGGAAAAGTAGAGTTAGCCTCTAGATACACCATTTGTATGATATTTGTAGAGCAGAACAAAAATCGGGGTGTGTAGGAGTGTCTCAGAAAGTAGTTGTTTGTGATGGGTTTTCATCAATGATAATCAGGGTTAAAAAGCTCTTTGGTTTTTTCTCATCATAAACACTCCAAGAGAAGGGCAGGGCAGGGCAGTGGGAGGATTAAAGGCGAAAGGACTAACCTGATGGGTATGAGAAAACGAGCAGGACATTTTCACATGTACCCGCACAGTTTCATCAAGATTGCAAACAGACTCATCAGAAGGAGACCACCAATGTGATGTGCTAGATTGCGCAGCAAATGATCTATGTAGCTGAGGGCCAAGATTATTCGTCTCTTTACCCAACCTAAACCAATTGTGCCGCCCCTCCAGCACTTCAATCAAGAAGTCAGGGAGACATTTAGTCGCTAGAGAACCAGTTAGCTTTGACGTCGCATAGCAAAGGATTGTATCAGGGAATACGCACAAGAGACCGCCGAAGCCGCCATCATCCTCATCGGACTCCTTCTCCTCCTCCTTCTCCTCAGCCTTGCCAGCGGCAGGGGCAGCCTCGGAAGAAGCGGCGGGAGCGGCGGAAGCATAGGCATCGGGGTTGGCAATGCGATCCTTGAGCTCCTCGATCTCGGGCCAGCTGATCTCGGTCTCGACAGCGACGGCAAGAACCTTCTTGTAGGCGTTGACGACGGAGTGCATGACGGAGGGGAGGGTGGGGAAGTTGAGAGCGAGCGAAAGGCTGGCAATGGTGGTGATGGCAGAGGAGAAAGCCTTGAGGAGCTGCTCCTCGGAGATGTCGAGGACATCGGAGGCGAAGGTGTTGCCCTGGTCGTAGACCTGAGCGATGCCCATACCGTAGGTGAAGGGAGAGATGTTGAGCATGTTCAACAGGGTAGCCTCAGAGGGGCCGACCTTGACACCAGCCTCAACGAGCTTGAGATCGGTGGTGATTTCAATGGTACCACGAGCGATCTTGGTGGGGACACCGAGGGCCTGGAAGAAAGAGGTCTTGCCGGGTTCCATACCGGTGTTGCCAGCGGGAACCCAGACATCGGCAGGGGCGACGGCACCAGCACGAGCGGGGGCAGCGACCTTGTTGGCGAGGATCTTGTCACGGATCTCCTTGAGGTCGCCGTTGGTGAAGACGAAACCAACGTTGCCCTTGACGAAGGGGAGGAGACGCTCGTACTCGGGGGTGTCGATGACGAAGGTCTTGAGGGCACGGCGAACCTGTAGTAAACCAAGTTAACATCTGGGGGTTTCCAGGATCGCGACAATCTTACGACAAACGTACCATGGTGTTCTTGCCCATCAAGACGACAGCCTCTCCGCGGAGAGACTGACGAATCTCGTGCATCTGCTGAGAGCTGACATTGTCGACGGAGACGATGAAGATGGACTTGTAGTCCTCCAACAAGCCCTTCAGCTTGTCGAAGTAACCGGCCTTGTTAGCAGACTTGCCCCCCATATCTTCTTTTAGCACGAAGGCAGGATGTTTAAGGGCAAGAGGAGTTCTCTTGATTGATTTGGTGGTAAAATTGGAGTTGGTATGGTGACCGGAGGAGAGATTCTGGAAGCCGGACAAAATTTCGGGCGCGCAATTGACTTGGTTGATCCGTCTGTGGGAAGCGAGGGGTGCATGTGGCCCGTGCTGCCGTCGGGGTGCTAGGGCTTGGGCGAGGAGAGCCAATCAGGCAGTCAGAAGCAAGCTCTCCGACTCCGCATAGTTTCTGTGAATGTGGTCTTGGCAGGTACCCCGGTACAAAATCGTCAAAATCGCATGAGCCTCACTCAAGCTGCAGTGAATGGTTCGTCTGCTGGTCCAGCCACATGTGGCTCAGCAAATAAGTCAGTTTGAAGACTTTCTTCAAGTTCACTCTCACTCAGTCATCAAGCATCGCAGTGACTACCAGGAGTGAGTGTGCATCAAGACTCCGAATATCAAAGTTTGTATTACCTTTTTCAACCCTCAGTTGTAATTGACTAACACATTTAACAGAATCACACTCGAGTTTTGAGAGGCACCACACTCGATCTTTCAGTATCAAAGCTTGATATCCACCATCCACAGGCCCATCATCCACTTCATCACAATGGCTTTGCCATATCACGTCCTCAAGGTGTGCGACGGCATCGTCTTTGCCGCTCGCGGAAGCAACATCCACTCATTCGACTCCAACTTCGAACCTATCTCAGTATGGAAGTACCCCGTCAAGCAGCAAGAGACCAACGCAGAGAAGGCCGAGATTGAGACCCCGGCTCCTACCGTCGAGGCCGCCGAAGAGTCGCCCGTCCCAGAAGGACCCCCTGCTAAAAAGAGGAAAGTGGAAGATGGCGAGGTGGTAGCCGTTACGGAAGAGAGCAAGGAGGAAACCACTGAAGGTCAAACTGAGACCAAGACTGAAGGAGGCTTGACCCAGCACCAGAAAGAAGTGAACAGACGCAGCAGGCGGCAAAAGCAGAAGCAAAAGACCGAGGGCGGCTGGGCAAAGAACAACAAGGCTGCTCTCGAGAAGCCGTTTGTCCAGGGCCTGTACCTCACCACCGACAGCCGTCATCTCGTCGCCATTACCGGATCCGACAAGACCATCTGGGTCTTTGAGCACGATGGTGCCGGAAACCTCAAGCAGCTAAGCCAAAGAGCGATGCCCAAGCGTCCTTGCGCTCTCGCCCTTACTCCCGACAACAAGACCATCCTCTCGGCCGACAAGTTCGGCGACGTCTTTTCGCTCCCTCTTCTCTTCACCCCTTCCGAGCCCACGGCTTCCGCCGCTGCTGCTGCTGCTGCTGTTGCTACCACCACCACCATTTCCGAGGTCGCCACCCCCGAACCCATCCCCTCCACCCCGGCCACTCCCGCCGTTCCTACTCCTCCTCCTACGACCGACGTCGCCAAGGTGCAATCGCTCTCCGTCAAGCCGCAAGCTAACGAGCTCACGGTGCACACGCTCCGCAACCTCAAGGCGCTGGAGAACCAGAAGCGCTGCCTGGAGCGGCAAAAAGCGGCCAAGCTCGCCGCGGCCCTGCAAGCCTCGCAGTTCGAGCACACGCTGCAGCTGGGCCACGTGTCCATGCTCACTTCGGTGGCCGTGGTCGTGCACCCGGCCTACCCGGGCCGGACGTACATCATTACGGCCGACAGGGACGAGCACATCCGCGTGAGCCGCGGTATCCCGCAGGCGCACGTGATCGAGGGCTTCCTTTTGGGCCACGACGAGTTCGTGAGCCGGGTGTGCATCCCCGAGAAGCGCGGGGACGTGTTGATCAGCGGCGGTGGCGATGACGACTTGTTTGTGTGGGACTGGGTCAGCAGCAAGCTGCTGGGCAAGGCGCCGGTGTTGGCCGAGGTCAGGAAGGCGCTTGCTCCCGAGGAGGCGGAGAAGGTTACCAAGGTTGCTGTGACGAAGATTTTCGATGTTCAGCAGGGAGAGAAGACGCACATCTTTGTCATTTGCGAACGGTATGTCACCATCCTTCCCTTTCAGAGAATGCTGTGTTGGGTGCAACGGCTAACAGCAGTACAGCATCCCCCTTCTTCTAATCTATACCCTCACCTCCGACAACACCTTTCAACACACGCAAACCCTCTCCCTCCTCGGCACCCCGCTAGATGTCGAGTACCTCAAGGCCGATTCCAAGCTCATCGTGTCCATCGATCCCAACACCTCGTCCGAGACCCAGGAGGAAGAGGCCAACAACGGCGGCGTATCTTCCATCCTCGCTCTGTCGTTTAACGAGTCTGTCTCCTCGGGCTGGAAGGTGGCGCCCACCGGTGGTCTCAAGGTGACTGAAGCGGCCGAGGACGATAGTACTACGTTGACTCCCCAAGATTTGCAGAAGCTTCTGTATACCACGGAGAGCTTGAGGAAGACGAATAAGGATGACGAGTAGTAAGTTTGTGTGGAAGACATCAACCGGATAGATAAAATTGACTAGAGTACACAACACTTTAAGCCTACGTCGTTTTGTATTCGCTGGATTCAGTCCTTTCGATTTAATTGCCCAATTTGGCATCTCTCTACCTTGTTTACCCCCGCCGACCGACATACATACGTCTTATTTCGCACCTATTCCGTCCTCTTTGACCAGAGCCATCAGCTCCCATATCCCTTCTTCCCTTCTAGACCCGCTCATCTACCAGCAAACGGCCAATGATGATGAGGATGAGCTATAGGTCCAGGTCTCAAAGTATTTGGCCTGATCGGTTCCCAATGATTCACCCACGGCAATGGCCCTCCTCCTCCACCACCACCCATATCCCCCAACCCTCCTGGCATTCCATTCATTCTTCCCCCGCCTGCACCCCCTCCCGCCGCCGTGGCCCACGGCCTCTCCATGCTCGGCAACGACCTACCGCCCGCGTCCATCCTACCCATTCCTATTCCCATTCCCATTCCCGGCAACCCCATATAACCACCCATCCCAGGCGGTCCTTGATGAAGCCCGGGACTTTGGTGATTGTACTGAGTGTGATAGAAATCCTCCTCCCTCCTCGCCGCCATCTCCATCAACACGGCCGTGACAATCTCCGGGTTCTGATGCAACCAGTCCCCTGTCTCCTCCTCCTCGTCCATTTCCATTTCCTTTTCGGTCGTTGTTGCTGTCATACCCTCATCACCAGTATCCTCAGTCCTGCGTCTCTTTCCATATTCATTCCTCTCCCCATTTCGATTACCGGAATTTCCATACCCATACCTACTGCTCCTGCTCCTGCCCCTGCCCCTCCAAGGTTGCAAAAAGCCAACCCTAGCAAACACCATTTTAAGCAGCGGATCGCTCTCCGGCAGACCCTCCCACAGCCGCTTGCAAAGGAACAAAACCTGCGGCACCGCCGCGTCGGTCCCCGCGCTCTCGAGCATGTCGATTGCATGCCGCGCGATCGAAGCTTTGAAGTCGTCTAGCAGAAACTTGTTGGCGAGGATGTAGACCGATAAGGTGTGTTCGTAGCAGAGGAGCCAGGTGCGCAGGTCGGCGGGGGTGGAGAGGCGGGTGTTGCCTTCTGTTAGATGGTAGGAGTCCGAGGGGGGCTGGTTGGAAGAGGAAGAGGAAGAGGCCTGAGCGGTGGGCGCTGGGGGAGGAGGTAGAGCGTGGTTGGCGGGAGGAGGTGGTGGTGGTGGTGGAGGAGGAGGGGGTGGAGGAGGGGGAGGAGCTGCTAGTCTTGCGCGGCCACGTCTCCTATTGGCAGCTGCTCCTACGCCATCGCCAGCCAAAAAGTCGTTCGAGGTAGGGTCTGTGGTGATATTCGGGGCCGGGAGGGTGAGGGAATGGCGGCCTTGTTCCAGTCGGGGTGTACGGGGCTCCAATACCGGGTGGAGGTACTGGTGATCGGGGCGCATGGCAGGACCAGCAAGGGGGTCCGGGTTCGACAACGCAGCGGGGACAGCCGCAGTTGGGACGATGACGGCCGGGGTGTTTCCCGTTTACGCGATCCCATTCCCGCTGCCTTTCTCGCTGTTGAAGACGCCGTTGACGCTCGCGCCGGCGTTGAGCGGGGGCGGCGCTGAGGTCGGTGTCTAGCTCGGAGTCGTCTGAGTTGTGTGTCTCAGAGTCTATTCCGCCCCCAGCGCCGTTGGTTTCCACGGCATCTTTGTCTTTACCCTTTTGCTGGTCGGGGACGAGAACTGATGAAGCAGGCTTGATAGGCTCATACTTCCCTTCATATAAAAAGGCGATCAGGTAGTGGAAGATTGCTGGGTCTTCTTCGGGTAGCTCAATCGACTGGGTCTCGGATTCTCTGAAGTTGCCGCAGAGTGCTTTCTCGAAGCATTCGACTTTTAGGAGGATGTGCTTATGGACCTGATTTTGGGCGGTGAGCCAATTGTCCCAGAGAACAGTTCAAGGTTGATGGTTAAACATACATAGAATGTTTGCGCCCGAGGCGCCTCTCCCACCCGAAGTGGTATAATGGGCGAGTTATATCGTCTGTCGGGGTTCTCTCATATTAGCAAGACTCTTGTCAACTGGTCTCGGAAATCCCAACTCTTCAAATCGACTCTACGAATATCTCGGCCTCCGAGATATGCTGCCAGCCGTCACCAAATCCATATGCCCTCTCGATTACCACAAGGACCATTGAGAACATCTTGACTCACCCATCAGCAGTACTCATCCAAAGATCCTCCTTCGGATTCAACGCCGCCTCCCTGTTTCTGCTACTCGATTCCTCCGGCATCGATTCCAGAACCATGACATCAGGCGCGCGCGACCCCAGTTCTCTCATAACCTCGCCCAGTGTCTGCGGCCTTCTCCTGAGATATGGGTCGCTTTGGGTTTCGGTTTCCTCGACATTTGCGCCCGTCCCTTCGTTCCTGTTGCTTCTGTTACTGGTTTCGGCGTTGTTGCTGTTGCTCCCTTCACTATGTTCGTCATCTCGCGTACTGTTGCTACTGTTGCTGCTCTCGCTGCTGACCGTGATATTGACTCTCGATTCAGAGTTGGATGAGCTGGGCTCCGCGGTGGCAGAGACAGCACCCGAACTTGGTGATATGTTTTGATCCATGTGTGAGATCAAGATGAATTCCAGGTGATTCTCCAGTTGTTGTCCAATAGACGGAGGGGTTGGTTAAATTCCTTTTTTTCTGTCAGCGTCACTTGTGTCGTATATATGGAGGTTAGCTGACAGGAAGAAGTACAAGTACGCAAGAGAGAGGAGGGGCAGCGGAAAGTGGGAGAGCTGCAGCACGCAACGAAAGTAAAAAAAAAATGAACTGGGGTCTCTTGAAGCATTAATAAATGACGGAACGCCACAGCCGTGACTAGACCGTACGTGACTGGGAGTTTAGCTACACAAGCTAACAAGAAAGGCAAGGCACCTTGGGTTTTGTTCATTTAAAATTCCGCGTACAGGCAGACACGTACACCAGGGTAGGTAGGCAAGCAGTGTAGAATACCGGTAGGCACCTGTTCAGAGCCCCTCAGCCCGGTCTTCGGCTCCGGCACAAAGCTGAATGCGTGTTTGTGTGTGTGTGTGTGATGTGCGTGTAAGTTGCGTGTGTAGCACAAGGATTGCTTTCGAGATTGGTGGTCAAGTCCTTTTGGTAATACCCAATGGAAGAAGAGGGTTGCGGTACAAGATCAAGACGCTTGATTTGCTGGTCTGGTCTGGTCTGGTCTGAGAATTGTAGTGGTGTAAAAGGGAAGGAACGATTCAGGTGTTCAACCGGGGAATCTAGGAATTCATATGACTGGAACCTGTCGCCCGTCACCCACCGGTCGCTTCTCCGGCTTCAACTTGTGGTCCGATAAACTCATCGACTTTCATTTTCTTGTTCAATCATTCGTCGCCTCGAGTAGGGCGTGCACCCATCTGATCCCTACTCTACCATTCAATCTGAATCTCATACCGGTCTTCGGACTACCACAAATACACCACAAGCGGGACAAAGACCCCGCTTGCCCGACAATGTCGCACATCATTTGACATTCTAATGAATGTGATGTGATGGATGGCCACCAAGGATTGGGTAGACGAGGGGTTACGGTGTGGCTGGCTCGGCTGGCTAGGGTAGGGGGTAAGTTCGGTCAAGATGGTTACCTGGTTATTCTGGATAAAAGCCTACACAGCTACAACCTGCCTGACTTACACACATACGACGCCATCCGTGGCCGCCTTCAATTTTACTACTCGACTCGACTCGACTCGGCCAAATATCGCACGTGGCGTACTGCATGAAGGATTTCTTTTTACTTTCTCCTTCCTTGAGTTTCTTCTTTCCTTCCTCGAGCTCCTTCCTTCTTTCTTCCTTCTCCCGTAAATCCGGTGGAACGTGAAACAGTGGCTGACACAGAAGACGAAAAACTGGAAGAGACCACCGGCACCAAGCATTACTTGTGTAATGGTGGGAGGTGCCTATGTGCAGTTATTGCTACGCATCGGGCCGTGACTTGACTCACTCACTACTAGGCAGTCCATAGTTTTTGTCCTTTCTGCCTTGTCTCTGTCCTATCCTGTGCTCATGTTTCCCTCTGAGCACACGGCCCAGTTCGTTGCTTGATGTTGTTATGGTTGTGTCACAGATGCCTTCCAGTTCTCCTCGTGGTACAAGGACCCTGTGTGGCAGTCGTGGATCCTCTAAACTTCGACCGGCCGATCGAACCGCCCAGAGTCGGCCATGACCTTGCTGTTGAAAGCCGTCGGTAGGTATCTGCTCGTGCATGGACCGAGCTGTGAGAGCTCGAGAACTTCCCACAGTGACCGAGGGCCAGATCTTCTGAAAACCTCTTTGGGTCGCCCGTGTTGTGCAACACCACTCGCCTGTTCATTCCAGTATATCACTACATCCCATCACAAATACCCTCACCTACTTTATCCTCAGGGTCGTCAGATTGAGCTTCCATGACTAATCACAATAAGAGTTAACACCAAATATATCAAATCCTTCTCACCTGTCCTCGAGCCGACGGCCATCGGGGACAATGCGCTGAAATGCCCAATGAGACCTCGACAAACAGATGCTATAAGGAGGGACTGGGTAGGTAGCATATGCTGTGTAAGCTGAGAAAAGAAATGAGAGATGCAAGATTACAGGTTCCATCGACAAGACACGACACGGCGCATCTTTCGTTCTCTTGCATGCAGCAGAACAAAAGAAGAAAGATTGAGATAGATTAGAGGAAACACGAAACAAGGCCCCCAGTACCCAACCCTGGTAATGGAAGGGTAAGCCTGAGGGTAGGTTTTCAGTATCCCAGCTCAATTTCCAACCCTTCCTTGCTCCTTCTTTCCTCGTTCAACGTCAACTAGGTACCAAGCAAAACGGAATGGATAGCAGCTGAAAATAGTACCGCCCCCTCGTACCACTTCAAATAAAATCCAAACAACCAAGATTGGCACACACACACACACACACACACACACACCATTACTCAACTCATGCGTGTAACAGACGGACGGTTACGGATAAGAAAAACTGATCTGATCTGTTCTGGAAGAAGATGGATGCCTCATACATTTATGTACTTCCCTAGAACTACCTACTTCCCTACCACTACTTTACTACTTTGTCTCTCCTCTAAAGCAGGGTCTAACATCACAGTAAGTGATTGTGGCTGGGTGTAACTACCTGCAAGGTTCGCTGATGGAATGGAAGATTTGATACCAATGCGAATGCGGGGTTTCCTTGTACGTATGTGTCCCTGTTCCTTGTGTCAGTGTGATGATGATGAGAAATACAATATGGCGTGTTTGACGTGACCGGGCCGGTGCGATGAGAAGGTTAGGATAGACACGGTAGGGATGGATATGTGACATATTGGCAACCGGGCTCTCCCATTGTCCCCGGTTTAAGCCAGGGTCTTCTTTTTTTCTGTCGACCTTCGCGTTGTTTGGAATCCAGGCCGTTGCCGTTAATCGGCTTAAACTGCAACCATACATACCATACCTACCGCACTATTCCGGTAAACAGAACTTGGGTTTTTCTAGTCAAACCCTTGCAGACCACACCTACTTTCTAGGGTTTAACTAGGAAAGCCCAAGTTCTGTTTACCGGAATAGTGCGGTACGCCCCATGCTCATGCTCATGCTTCTAACAGGCATCATATTGTCTCCGTTGTCCGTCCGGGACGTTGCGCGTAAACTAATGTTTCGAGCTGTTAAATATCGTATCACATAGGTATGAAAACGGATCTCGATCTTGAGAGAAATAGAGCGCAGAGGACCGACCCCCTGGTGAATATGGCCAGAAGTAAATTCCGCAAAACAAAGCCAAACGAACGAATGCCTTATCCGACTTTCTATAACGGTATATCGTTCCTTCGTTGTGGGTGGGTTTACGAGTTCTATTGACCAAACCAGGACCCCTATTCCTATTCCTATTCCTATTCCTATTCCTATTCCTGTTCCTATTCCTATTCCTCTTCCATCATCAACTCCTGTTGCATCTCGATCTCTATGTGACATAGCAGTTAGCACCACCTCATTAGCTCCCACCCATACACGTACAGTATGTGGCATAAATAAAGGGTAAGGGTATCAAGTAGGTACTCACGCCAAATCCTGTTCGCAGAGTCCGTGATGATCTTCGCCTTCGCAAGCAGTTTATCCAGGTATTTCTGCTCATCTTTAGCCTCCAGTCGGACCTTGTTCGGCTGCGCCTGCATCAGCACGGGCACGAGTTCCTTGGGGTCCGCATTCGCGACAACAGCCACCGTCTTGAAGCCGTTGTCCCAGAAGACTCGCGCTGTCCGGCTCTTGACAAACGTAATCTTGGACAAGCCAAGCAGATCCGCCCTGGCTCCGGCCTTGAGTCGGTCGGCAAAGTGATCGAGTGCCGCTGCCATGGCGCCCCATCCCATGGCCTCACAGAACTTGATCATGCCGGCGGCGAACCCCTGACAAATTTGGGCGAGCGTCTGGACGGCGCCTCGGGGCACGTCGTATTTCTGGGCAACGCGGTGGATGGGAATTTCGTTGCAGAGATCGCGGAGTTGGAGGGCTAGGTAGAAGCGATGGTAGCGACGGGTGGTGTCCTTTTCTTCGTCTATGGTTTCTTTCAGGATGCCGCCTCGTAGCCTTTTTTGTAGAGTTATAGTTAGCTTTGAGGCATATCACAAGCAAGACAGGAAAGCCGTCAGCACTTACATCCTGTTCAGAACCACAGGCTTCAACCCCAGAAAACCCATTACCCTCAACCCACTCTCATCTAGCTTCTCCATCTCGTTCCAAAACACCCTCCAGTTGATCGGCGTCCCGTTCCCCAGATCCGACACCGGCGTGAAGTTATACAGCACATGCATGTCCCCATCCATCACAAACCCTTTCAGCGCCCTCTCCAACTCCTTGTGAATAAACACGCCATCATCCGGATCCAACGAGCTAGCCACAATCGCCCCTCCCAGCTTCGTAGCACTATAGCTTGCCGTCTCATACCTCTCATCCACCGTGACCGTAATGAACCCCATCTCCTTGAGCTTCTCCAACCCAGCCTCCACATACCCCTTCATCCTCTCCTCCGTCTCCTTCTCCGCCAACCTTTGCTCGCAAGCCAACATGGTCCTGCCCACATACTCGTCCAGCGCCTCCCTGCTCGTCGCCAGCTTGATCGCAATCACCTCCAACAGCGCCCTCCTTATGCGGCGCTCGTCCGAGACCAGACAGCTGGCGATCTGCGGCAGGTCGGCATGCATCAGGTCCACCACGACCTCCAGATCGTTTCTTCGACAACACAGATACGTCTCGCCCACCTCGTCCTTGCCCTTGCGCCCGGCCCGGCCGCGCATCTGCCGCAGCATGGCCGGGCCGACGAGGTCGATGCCCATGCGCGCGCCGTGCAAGATAACCCGCCGCGCGGGCAGGTTGATGCCCGCGGCCAGGCTGGCGGTGGCCACGCAGACCTTGAAGGTGCCGGCGTCGTAGGCGTTGGCGATCAGCTCGCGCTCCTCGGTCGTCAGGCCGGCGTGGTGGAAGGCTACGCCGCAGGGGATGGTCTGTTCGAGCTTGGGGTCGAGACCGGTGGAGGAACTGCGCAGCTCGTTGAGCAGGTTGAGACGGCGCTCCCGGATTAGAGGGTCGGTTACTTCGGAGAAGGGGGGTAGGACCCGGCTGATCAGGACGGCGTCGGATTCGCAGCCGGCGCGACTGCTGGAGAAGACGAGGACGCCGTAGCCGGCGCGGGCGGTCTCGTTGGCGAGGGCGACGACGGCATTCATGACAGGGTCTTTGAATTCTCGGTGAGTGGAGGGGTGGATGAAACGGATGTGCTGGAGGGAGGAGGTAGTGGAGGGTGGTAGCCCTTGAGTGGTAGTGGTGACCGCATTCCTGGTATCTAGTTGAGTGGCTGTTTTGAGAAGACTGGCGGTTGTTGCTGCTGGGTATATCTTGCCGTCGTAGACGAGATGTTCCTTGATGGGCACTGGCCGGTAGTGTGTCTCGTACGAGTGGCCCCCTAGCCAGTCCTTAAGGAGACGGATGTTCTTCACTTACGATCAGCAAAATTCGTGGTCCATGAGAGAGAATAGGGTGGGTGTGAGCTTTAGCATACTGTCAAAGTAGCGCTCATGGCGATAATCTGCACTTGCTGCTCCAGACAAAGGAGTTTCGTAGTCATCAGCTCGAGCAAATATCCCCTGAAGCCATCATCGATCATGTGGCACTCATCCAGCACCACGGCTCTGAGTTTAGATATTGAGCAATCGGTTATAGCAGCGTTGATGAGCGAGTTTGCCTACCGTTCTCCATTGTCAGAGTCTCATTCAACAAGCATCAGCCACTGGGGTTCACCACAACGCAGATTCACCCACCTTCTCCATCGTGCAAACCGCCACACATCAAATCCGCCCACGTAGCCCTTACTTTGCTCCCACCAAAGAATCCCACCACCCTGATGGTATCCTTATCCGGCCTTTTCGCCCACAGCTTCTGCTGGGGCTGCTTCTGCCCCAAATCCCCGCTCCTCGAGATCCCACCAACGACACTCCTCAACCAGCGCACCTTCTCCTGCACCAGCGCCACATATGGCAGCACCAGGATAGCCTTGGCTTCGCCGGCCGGGTCATCCAGCACCCTCTTCAGCATGAGCAGGTCCGCAACCAGCGACTTGCCGCCGCCTGTGGGCGCACTGTACACCAGGTTCTTGTCGCCGGAGAGCAGACCGGGGCCGAGCAGGCATTGTTTCTGCCACGGGTAGATGGACTTGATCCCCAGGGCGGCAAAGTTGGCTACGAGCTGCTTGGGGAGCTTGTATACCGGGTGCGAGAGGGAGAGGAAGGGGTTGCTGGTGGAGGTGGGCGTTGAAGGCAGGGCTCGACGCTGGGAGTACTCGGATGGGAAGCCACCCTTGGCGGCGGTGGAAGTTGGGTCTGCATGCTCGATGGTACTTGCTGTGAGAGGAGGAGGGCCTGAGGGTGCTTTTATAAAGGCGGATGGGGTGAAGCCTGGGGTTGGGGTGTTGGAAGGCCCTGGTGTAGGCCGTTTGGCTAATGGAGGCCCATTTCGGAACTGAGGCCGGACATTGTTTATGGAGCGCTTTTGGCCAATGACAACATTGGTTGTCGTCGTCAGTGCCGGCCGTTGTTGAAAAGGTTGATTCTGTTGCCTTTGTCGTTGTTCTTGTTGCTCCCTCGCTTCTTGTAGAGTCGTCTTATGCCATATTCCAACTGGACTTGGTTTGTTTGGCTGCCAGTTATGCGACATAACCGAATGCCGACTATGGTGAAGCTAAAGAAGCAAAGCAAATGAAATAAGTCGGTCAAGTGTAATTGGTATGCTCTCTGCAAAATAAAGCGAGTGGTGAGCCCTGTTGTGATGTGCTCGCGACAGTCGATGGACAAAATGATTGATTGCAATTCGGGCAAATGACAAACCGAGCGACAGGAATTGAAGAGATGATGTTGCTGCGATGCGATCAGAACGTGCAATCGGACGGAATGTCAAGTGAATTGAAGATTGGCTTGAATATTTAAAAAGTTCTTTAACAGATCACCAATTCCATAATAATGGTCAGCCAGAAGGAGACAAGGGCTCATTGTTGCCTATTTCTTCTCGGTCATTTCCAATCTGTTGGTAGGTCGTTGTGAACGCGTCTTGCCCCCTCGAGATGTTGTGTTGAAAGCAGGCCAGTTGTTGTCAAACTCGGTGGTGGGCAACAAGCTGCATGGAGGTAAACAAATAGGGTTGAGGCCATATCCACTTACGGGTGGACCAGCTTTGGGCTTTCTCACAGTTGACGACTTCACTGCCAAAACACCAAAGAAAAAGGAATACGTAGTCATACCTTATGTCGAGAAACAAAGACTTGTACCCCTTTGTCAAATCACATTGGTATTTGTGATATTGTGATTGCCTCCTGCCGATGCTCTCATCTCAGTCCCGCGAACGCGCGGAAGGGCAAAGTTAATTGGACTGGTGCCTCAGCCACACTACACGCTCTTTGTTGGGACTTCGGAACTTAACAAGATTTATTCCATGTACCTAAAAGCCAGAGTGGCTCGAACTTGTTTCGAGTTTCCAGCTCGTTACCTTCTTCGATTCAAATCAGCTTGACGTCGGTTTCTCTTCAACTCCAATTCGAGGCAGCCACATCAAGCCACGAATTTTCCATAACAGAAAGTCCGGCCAATGCCGCCGGCAACGACACTGCACCGAAGCATCATGCAGGGAAGGTGTGACCCGCCCAAGCCGCCGCCGAGCCGAGCCCGCTTGGGAAGTAGATTCGGGCGCGCCGTGCACGATGTCTTGACAGAGCGAGCGCGTGCTCGCCTGCCCGCCCAGGCTCCAGCCGCCCGCCCGCTCGGCCTCACTGGCACTGGAATTCTACATAGGCGACATGACGACGTCGGACGTCCAGAGTGTGCGCAGAGTTTTGAGTTCGTTCTTCAGGCTCATATGACAAAAACTGTTGAGGAAAGGGATTTCTCACCGTCGCTACCTACTCTCTCGTACTTGTACCTGGCACCTGCTGTGTTCCAATGAGCTTTTGTTATCAGGTCTCTTTTCATCTCACGATCGTTTCACGTTCAAAAGTTTCATGGCCATCATAATGGTGTTGAGAATTTCGGGGCGGAATAGTTAAAATCGAATGGGGCTCGCTCGGCTCGGGGCAAGTGTTCCTTCATCCAAGTCGCGAGCGACGCAGGCGCAAAAACGGCAGTGCAAGCGCAAGCTACCTATCGATCTGACGATTCTAGCGGAGTGGGAGTTCACCGACACCACCTGGAAATATCTGCTAAAGCCAACGTCGTACATGTCCGTCAATGCCTTGTGGGTTCGGTTTCCGACGGGGTTTGATTTCGGACGAGCATCTCTATGTTGTGGTCCGTTTTCGTAATGTCTATATGTAAGTCAAAAGCTGTCAGCTTGCTCTTGGTTCTCGGTCATTTGTCGTCGTCCTTGCTGTCCTTGCCGTCGTCGTTGTCGCAAGCGTTTTGTCGTTAACTTCAGGGCAGTTCGTCGGTTCAGGTTGTTCCAAGGGTTCAAAAACCAGTGGACCAATCGGCACGGCATTATGGATCCATGAGTGTCCAATTCGGTTCACGCTAGTTAAACCCTGAAGGACACGCTCTCCTCAATCCAGCCCCCACATACGACTAAGAGCCAATCCCTGTACACTACCGACTGTTTCCTTGACGCTTCTCTGATTTGTGAAGCTTCATTGCTCACTGCAGTCTTCCTTTTGCGACGACTGAGGACGACAAAAGTAAGAGGGATGCTGCTCAACTTCAGCTGTAGTGTGCCTGTTCGACAGCTGCTTTCAATTCGATGAATAACCCCGGGGAGGTTGCCGGTCTGAAACCTGTGAGCTATCGACGGCTTTACAACCGTCCTGGTAGTTGGGTTGGAGAGTGATGCCGTACCCCGGACGCCATCACCACAGTTGACGCCCTTCTGAAACACCACAGAGTTTTTGCAAGCGACGCCCTCTCTCTGGACGACCGCGAACTGCCACGTTGGTACTGGGGCCGGTGTGTGTAAAGGTTGGAAATCAACAGTGTTAAGTGTCTTGTCTGTCGGGGGAAACAAACCTTTACCTACCTTGGCCACTGTAAGCCTCTGAGAACCATTGGATTGGAATTCGATCTCAGGTCAGGGGATGATCTGCAATCTCAATAGAAGTGAGATTTCATGCGAGGCCATTGAGAGTGTTCAGCAGGCTATTCACGATATATCTGGCAAACTGGCTCCAGGCCCCCCTAGACGGAGTGCAAAGCCTAGGTCAAAGTCCAATCCAAACGGAGGAAGCTTGCCTGACCTCCGGCTGTATTGGGGGGCTTTGCTTGGCAGCATGCTTGGTGGGTTTCTGTTGCTGAGGCGAAAGTTTCGCTGCTCCTCGCGACCTTGTCTTTTCAGAACTGCAACTGGTCGTGAACACTAACGATTATGGAAGTTGAGAGTGTGGCATAGGTATAGAGCTTTGCTGGTCAGTGTTTTGCAGTGAGTAGCTGCGAGAATGAGCGGCCTTGATACCCTAGCATGAGATAAAAGCATTGGTGAGTGTCCTCTGCCAAAGTTTGATATCGCGTCCGCCAAGAAGCGGCGCCGAACTGCTGAAAGCCTAAAAGACATCAAAATCTACGGCCACCGCATATGTCCCAAGAATCTGAATCGAGGGGAAGCGATACTGAATCTTTGTGGGCTTCTCTGTGAACGTTTCTGCGTGGCGCTGGTATAAAGACCAACCTTGAACGACTGCCGACTGGCAAGCTGGTTGTTTAGGGACTGACGTCAGCTGCCATCCGGCCGATATGATGCGTCCGGGGTGATGGCAGCACTCAGCAGTCAGGACGAAATTGAGGGGGGATTGGACGTTGAGGCAAAAGTCCGACGAAAAAACAGGTCGCTAGTGTCATGTCTCCTGCTCATGGGGTGCTCCGTCGGTCGGATAGCATGGAAACTGAAGTAATGAGCTGCAGAGGCCGCATATGACGACGATAGGCAGAGGTCGTCATTGACTGAAATGGATGCTTTTGGGCAGCCGTGACAAAAATTGGAAAGACGAGAGTTTCATAATTATGAGATTCGAATACCGGTGATTGATGAAGGAGCCCAGGCGTTCAGATGGCCGATGGAAGATTGGTCAAGTACTTAGATGACCGATGGGCTCGTGACGGTTGGTGGGTTGAGGTGGGTTGTCGCTGTCGGCGAGGCAAAACACTGGACGCACGAGCAGACGCAAAGCCGAGATCTCCTGCACCCAAGCATCTTGTCACAGTGCGTGATCAAGGTGTGAACTCACGGCCTCATACTGTCTTCTCAACTTCATTCCATCAATCGCAACATCGTCAACACATATCGTGGCTCAACCAAAGCGACGGGTACTGCGATCATTGGGTTCTTGGATGGTTCTGGATGTCCTCTAATTATGAATGGTCAATTTTCTTGAATTTTACCGGTCCGTTGCACATGCTCACCGCGAGCCTCGCCCGATTGTGGTCGATTGCTCGAACCTACGCACAACGGGACGGCGAAGGGTTTTCCGTCCCATGGCACGGGGGGCTGAGGCAGCTAGGCACTGGCAGCGGACGGATTAAGATCCGTTTTGCTCCCACTTGTCATCTGGTTGAGTGGTGCGGCGCGGTGCGGGACGGGACCGCTTAAGCTTTGGTTTCGATAACGTGCCGCTGCTTGTCCTTCCAGAGACGGGTGTCATGGCTGAGGTGCACCCAGTCGACAGCCAAAATGCATTGTTGTAAAAGTGATGATGAGGTTGTCTTGACCATAGCAGGAGAGTCAGGGATACGGGGAGACGTTTGCGAGTCGCACATGGGCAGAAAATGGAACACTGATGAACTGTGGAGATGCCAGGGATCGACAAGCAAATCTGAAGCACAGATGAAATGCCCGTGGGCGTTTTCGGGATCCCACCTCTCCTAATTGGGTGTCTTAGGACGACATCACACGACTATCGACCTGGCCGGCTTCTTTAGTTATTCTCTCAGTCTCATATTTCGCCGTGATTCGAGTGGTAAATCGATGTCGATTCATTGTCGCGGTTGCGAGCTTCATTGACAACTTAACCTCTAAAGTGCATCACTGGTGGTGAGTCTTTCGCCAAGCCCACGAAGCATCGACTGCGTGCCAAGAGAACCGCGAACCCGTGCACGTCGTGCAGCAACTCAACCTCATCGCCGATCACGGGCCACTCAATCAGTTATGTTTGGTGAAGGGTCTCGTCAAAGTCAACAATGATCTAGCGATCTTGGATGAAATCGTTCCTGAGGGGATCCTCCTCTTTAGTATGCTTGGTGTTTTCCCTTGATGCAGCTTGGCTGCAAGATTTGGCGCGCGCCGACGCCGATGATAACGTTGAAATTGCCGCTAGGGAAGATCTAGGCAGGGGCAGCACAACCCGAGGAAGGCGGTGTTACACCAAAATGACCTGGGAAAGCCTGACCAGCCTGGTGTTGCGTATATCTCGGCAAGTAATGTTTTGCTGTCGGGCATTTCTTTCATGGCAGCCTTGGAAATCGACAAGACAGTTGGCCGTGCCAGAGGTGTTGCAGCATTTTCGGTTGAGGAAAGGGGAGGCCGGGAGGGCGAGCGAATGATGGGGTCAGCGTGGGATTTGCGGAGGAAGCCATCATGACCCACACCTGGAATCCCCGACTTAGCCCACAAAAAGATTGCAGAACAAAGAAGCTGATGAGAGATGAATCGACGTGAGCGTCCCCTGAGCGAGAGGGCGCATCATTAAAGGTTTCTTCATCCATCGATATGCCAGCCAGAATTCGCGCCCATAGCTCTGGCGAGGCTAAGAAGTGCAAACACACAAACGGAAAGTGTGGTGCTGGGATGGTAGGACGTTGGATTGCGCCCTCGCAGTTACCAAACGCTGAGCAGAGCCTTGAATGTCGACTTGGGCCCAAAGACGGGAGTCGGAGACATCCTGACCTGTACCTGTCCAGACTGGCTCGGCTGGCTCGATTGGTGACTGGGCGGGGAGATACAGTTCAATACTGGTTTGTGTGTTAGCTCGAGACCTCTGCCTCTGGTTAACCTTCCCAGGTGTTTTGGTGTCTGATTGATCAGTTCCGCTGTATAACTAAAGCCTGGTCTCCCTTTGGATATACTATATTGAGTTTTGTTGATGCTTTTCCAGTTCGTGTTTAGGCATTTTGCTTTGTTCTTGTTATATTTGGGACATTATAGGATGTGTCTCGTCCGGTATGTTAGGAGTACCGAGCTAACAAACCAGCACTGGATTGTACAAGTGAGAGGCAGAGCATCCAATGGCACGCGGTATCGTCGGGTACATTGGCCATGTAACTCGAACCGCCGTTTCCCAAGGCGTGCCAGGCACACGGCACACATCATGACCACCCAGCCAGCATATGGACTGAGAGGACTAGACAAATTGTCGAGAACCGGGGCAGACCAGGGCTTTGCCTGTCAGCACAGTTCAGCTTCTGGTCCAACCTTGACTCGAAAGGAACTGGAACTCTGGCGAGGCGGACGCGCACAGTTTACTAAGGACCGCAGACCGGCAATCAAAGAAAGTGGAAAGAGCAGGCCAGCGAGCGAACCACGGAAACGGGGCCTCTTCTGCGTGGCGACTTTACGCCATCTCACTGCGAGTGGGCGCGGCGCGTACCGACCACCATGATGAAGAAATACTTGTGCATCTCATTGTAAACACCAAAAGACGTGATAAAGTTGAAAGGTGGCCGTCGGACGAGTCGGCGTCTCGGGTTGAAGGTGGAGTGGCCGGAGCAAGTGCCAGTTGGATGGATGGATGGATTTGCGGCAGGGCTTGCTTGGCCAGAGATTGAAGGTGGCAGAAGTGGAAAGGAACGGAGAATGGAGAACGACGGCGTGAGGTTGAAGACTGAGGTTTTACTCCTCGCTGGGTTTTCGGGGGCCTGGGGCTCGCCGCGAAGGTAGACGGGAGGGATCATGAAGTATCAGCAAAGTCTCGAGATGGTGGCTGCATGGCCGGCGCATGTTAGCATTCTGTATCAAAGCCCATAGTAATGGCTAACACACCTGTCGACAAACACACACTGAATGCGGGAGTAGCAGACCCCTGCGGAGACCTGGTCTGTACCTTTAGGCACTAGCGATATCCGGACCCACCCACCCGAATGTGTGTTGTGTGGACAGGCTAGGAGGTAGCTGCGTTCTGGTGCCCTGCGAATGCGGGCTCTTTGGTGCTGGAAGGTTGATGGAAAGCCCACCCGGTTGTCGCAGTTTCTTTTCTTGCTCACTTCAATGAAATGTCCAAAATCCCCCCCCCCCCCCCCCCCCCACGAACTGCACTTTGAGATTCGGGCATATCATGGAGGACTTATCACCGCTCGGCAAACGTGACCGTCCTCGCAAAAGTGCAGTGTCAGACAGCAGCGCAGGCGATGTCTGCCTAGGTAGCATCCCGTTCGAGATATCGAGAGAGAAAGAGCTGTCCGCTCGGCACCCGACCTCAAACATCGAACTCCATATTTGTCGCTAGACCAACGTCTTCCCGCGTCTTGACCGCAGTCGGCGGCAGCCATGAACCGTCACCACCGACAATATCCCCCTACATGGACTTGGAGGCAGTCACGATGGGAACTAAAAACCGAGCACGTTCCATGATGGAATTGCAAGTCGTGTATCTTACCGAGAGGTAATGGGGTCATACCCATCCCATTGAATAGGTAGTGTGCCTGTGTACAAGAAGAGACAACGACCAGGTACCTGTCCCCGTTAGGACCGTTATTACGGGCCACCCTACAAGACCTTGCCCAAAAAAGGTACCTTTCCTCTTCTGATGAATCCTTGCCCATTTCCACTTGACGTTTCTCGCTCCAGTCGCTTTCTCCATTATTACTTTTGCCCACACATATCTCTCTCTCCCTTCCCTTTTTCTTCCCTTTTCGCCAACAACGCTGGTTTTGTCCCTCCCACATGCACTCCAATTTACTCGATCTGGACCGTGTATAGGTTGCCCACGCCTTCCCCAGCCCAGACGGGATTTCACCAGTCGCCGCAATCTTAACAACCTTTTCCCATTACATACTACCAGCAAACTACACCTTTACCACCGAGACAAACGGGCCGCCTCTTGCGACTTAACCCTACCTACCTCGAATTCCTTAGTCCCGTATATGTCACGGTCGTCCCACGGCTGCTGCTCCAAACGGCATCTCGCATATTTCGCCTTGTCCATTGACTCCCCCGGCATATCAGCATCTTGGTCAGCTTGAGATTCAGGTTCGACTCAGATTGACTTCAGGTTCGGGTGTTGGAAGGTTTCTTACTTGATCCCAAAGGCATTGGTCGTCTGCACGGGGCGCCGGCACGCTTCCGTCCCAACATATGGCCGATCTGCTGGCCCCGTCATCTCACATTTTCTAGCATCTCATAGTCCACGTCAAGCGGCCGTCCTCTGTCCTTTGGGTTTCGGCCATCTTACACGCTTGAGATCTGATTCACACGAGCCTTTCAAGAGCGCCACCAGGCATTGGCCTCACTCGTCGCCCTTCCAGGTTCCAGTTTCCAGGTTGCGGGACATCGTTCACTGTTTCAGCACCATGGCTCAAAAACCCCAACATGTGATTCCCTCAGAGGAGCAGACAAACTCTGCGAGTCGCACCTTATCCGCCAAGGAGAAGGAGGGCGCGGCAACCGCAAGTGCAAATGCAAACTCGACCAAGCAGTCAGCCACCACTCCCGCATCAACCTCCCCCGGTACATCTACTTCATCTGCTGCTTTATCTAACGTCCTCCCACGGGTCTCTGATTCCTCCCCTCTTCCCCCAACTAATTCTGAACCTCCCGCGGACGTCTCCATGGGCAAGTCAACGAATACAAGCACACAAGCCGCCGCCGCCGTCGCCGCCGCCAAAGATGGCAGCACGGCGGCCAACCCCTATGGAACGCGTTCACGAAACCGCACAGGCAATTCTCGCATCAACTACGCAGAGGATCGGGATCTTGACATGGACATTTTCGAATTGTATCCGGATCGTCGAGAAGGAGGTGAGGCCAAAAAGGGTTCCTCTAAGCAAGGCCAAGCATCAACATCAGCAACAACGCAAGCGGCAACACCATCGTCATCATCGCCGACAAATGGTGCATCTCAGCCAACCCCACGTTCTGCGGTAAATGGGACATCAGCATCAACCGCCGCCACTTCCACCTCAACGTCGGCCTCACGGAAACCGCTTCCCACAATCGACGATACTCGTAAGGGCCACTCTTCAAACGGCACCAAAGATCAGCAGTCTCGTCAGCCCTCAACCTCGCCGGCCGCAAACGGGGCTCCTACCACCACTACCAATGGCCCCACAAAGTCCAAGAAGCGAAAAGCAGATCCTGCAGCAAATGCTTCCAGCAGTCAGACCCCAACCAGTGCAGCAGTAAACTCTTCGGCATCGCACAACAAGCGGGCCAAGACCAATTCGCACGACAACAATGGAAACAGCAAGACACCGACAAATGGGCTCGCGAGCGACCTGGGCACGGCTAAAGGCTATGGCGAGACCAATCTCCTCACTTTTGAAAAGACCAAGGCGATGCCCAAAGACGGCAAGATGGTGGCTGATGACGGCACTGTTCTTGAGGTGAACGGTAAGTTGTTGACTCTTCTACTCCTGGGGGCTTGCGCCTGATTCCCTATGGGGAAATGATGGCTCCTGTGCTCGTCTCTTTTTTTTTTTGGTTCGTCGAGGGGCGCCGTTCTGACATGGGTTGTAGATCACGTTTACCTGGTCTGTGAGCCGCCCGGGGAGCCTTACTACCTGGGCCGCATCATGGAGTTTTTGCACACCAAAAACGACCCAGCAAAGCCAGTGGACGCGTTGCGCGTGAACTGGTACTACCGGCCAAAAGACATTGGTCGAAGAGTGCAAGATACGCGAATGGTTTTCGCCACGATGCACTCGGACATTAGTCCTTTGACGGCCCTGCGCGGCAAGTGCCAGATTCGGCACAAGACGGAAATCCCAGACCTGGCCGCGTATAAGAGTTCGCGCGACTGTTTCTGGTTTGAAAAGCTGTACGATCGGTACATTCAGAAGAACTACGAGGTGATTCCGACCAAACAGATCATCAACGTGCCCGAGCATGTCAAGAAGGTGCTGGACGAGAGGTGGAAATACATTTTGGTGGAGCAAGGCCGAGGCAAGGAACTGACCAGTGCGGTCAAGACTTGCAAGCGGTGCGTCGGCTACTGCGCCAGGTAAGTTACAAAGATTATGCCAATTTGTGTTGCCTCAATTTCCCTTTCCTCTCTCACTTCATTCACCTCACACTCATTCATCACTTCCTTTTTCGATGTACCCCTTCCAACCCGCGGTACCGGGACGGGAACACACTAACTGCGACACCCTCCCTGGCTGGGCCTATTATTACCAAGTGGGCTGCTGGCTGGCTGGACCAGGCAGGCACGGACAATTGGACATGTCTGGCTGTTGCTGCTGTTCTGTCGGCCGGGTCGGTGGTTTGGTGGTGGGTGCAGGGGGTGGTCTGTGCACTGTCCGGATGGACGGTGTACTTTGATTTGGCGCGGCTTGGCTTCCACTTGTGCCTCTGGGCTTGGCCAATAAGTGTGGAGCCCGTCTCAGGA